AATTACTATAATTCTGTTTAGAATCTTGCACTTAGTGTCATAGATTATAGGTTTTTACATAATCTTGTATTTAAACTATTACTTTCATTAGTACTTGGTCTAACAGAATGTTTTGCACTACTGATCAACATAAAATAATTATTAAAATATAAACAAAATAATCTAATTCTAATTTAATCATACTAATTCCTCTATCATTTTAATAATATTATCTTAACCAAATTCATGTTTCTTATTTGTATAAATATACATTATTTTTAAATGTAATTTTATAAATAATTATATATATATATATATATCTTTTTTTCCATTATGATTTTTTTATTTCAATAAAGTACATTAATAAGTAATTAGATATGTATAATAAAATTGAGTAAGTGATATTATGAATTTGATCGTTGAAAATGATTTTATTTTAATTAAATAAATAAAATGAATAGCACCTTAAGTTCAGAAGATTTAGATAATGATATACGAATATAATAAGTCTAATAAACTGCCCCTGATGCAGTACAATTTTACATTACAGAAGAGTATAAGAATTTCAATATTCTTATTAGGCATTTTAATAATGATCCATATGATATTATATAATAAAAGGTAGCAGCATTTTAACCAATTCAATCTAAAGATGACACTAGATGTGATCAAGCATCTAAAGATGGTGGTAAGAAATTCGAAGATAAGAAACAAATTAAGTGTATGAGGTCTGTAGGGACTTATGTGATTTAGCAAATTGGACGTAAAATTTTATCAGGAGACATGAATCTCACTAAGATTAGTTTTCCAATTAAGGCTATGATTGCAAAATCAGCTTTGGAGAAAAATTTATAATCTACTATCTTTTTTCCTTTATATATCAACAGAGCTGTTCAGACAGTAGATTATATGGAGTAATTGAAATTAGTCATAACTGCTACAATTGCTACATTCCACATAAATTTGAGTTTTCATAAACCATTAAATCCTATCTTGGGGGAAACAGTTGAAGGTTATCTATCTGATGGAACAAAGTTATATGCAGAATAAATTAGTCATCATCCTCCAGTAAGCTAATTTTATGGGGTTGGTAAAGATAATTTATATAAATATTTTGGGTATCACCTTTGTATATTATAAGAAATTATTGGTACGAAGCATCTGCTGGACTTAATTCCATCACTTTAAAAAATAAGGGGAAAAGAACAATAGTATTTAATGGAGGATAAAGAATTGATTATAATTTTGCTTATGAATTATATAGTGGAACAATTATGGGTTCAATGAAAGTTGAAGTATAACTATTAATAATTTATTAAGACTCTTGGGGTTTCTACATATTAAACTAATAAAGGATTGACTGCAACATTAAAATTTGGAAAAGTTAAAAGAAAAGCTACTGATTATTTTGAAGGAACAATAAATATGGGACAATAAGAATTATGTAAAATATATGGTACTTATATGGGATACATTGAATTTGATGGAGTACGTTATTGGGATCATAGACATATGGTAAAATAATATAAATTGTATTTAGTAACCACATTAAGTAACTATTAAACCTCCATTTTTACCATCTGATGCATAATTGAGAGGGGATTATATAAATTTATCTGCTTTAGATATTGATAGGGCATAAATAGAAAAAGAGAATCTAGAAAATTTATAAAGACATGATGCTAAATTAAGAACTAAATTTAAGGAGATCAGAAGAAAAAAGGAAGAGAAAAAAAAATAACATGATCATGATTGATAAATTACTAATTCATAAATCATTAAAGGTCTTTTTAGATTATTCAATCCTATTTAACTTATTCAATCCTTTTTGTATATAACATACTATCTTCATTTTCAGGATTTTCTATATCCATTTTAATTCTAGAATCCATCAAACTTAAATTTTTATTCTCAATTTATCCAGTTGAATAATCTGGACTTTAAACAAAAGATTACTCTTTTATAGAATGTAAATGTTTTTAGGTTCTAAACTTTTAAGTATTCTATAATTAGGATGATTTTAATTAAATTTATTCTTACTCATATTGTAATTCTTATTCCTATTATTTATAAAAAATGTAATTAGCATCTTATTTAATTTAAAGAAATTAATTTTCATAATTAACTTTACCTAATGAAAATTAATCTGATATAAATTCAGTAGTATCAATTTAATGTTGGTTGAATTCTTTTTTTGAATAGTTGAAATGAAAACAAAAGATCTTGGATATCAAAGTAAAAATAATACTGAATAAAGAACTTAATGCATAATAACATAAAAAAAATAGTAATACATATCCACAAAAATTGTAATAAGCCTCTATCATAAAACAAATAAATAAAAAAACAATATTATATGATATCCAAAGAGCAAAAGATTGAACTTTATTATAATAAAAATCTTTAATCCTTTCATTTTCAAAATTATTATCAGTATTTATCCTCTCATAAAATCTCATACCAAAATTTATCATTAAAAAGTAAAATAAATAACTTAAGTATCCTCTAATAAATACTTAAATATGTGATAAATTAAGTAACATCTTTATTGCTTTTTCTAAAATCACTATTAAAATACAAAAACATATTATTAATTTATATGTATCTCCAACTTTTGAATAGTAATTGTAAATAATATTTAAAATGAATAATGCCAAAAAGAATATATTGAAAACTGCCATCAAATAAAACAATTTGGAATATTATTCAGTAGCTTCTTCAATTTAATTTTAATAATTAAAACACAAATCTGTACACTCTACTTATGCAAAATATTCAATAAAACCATTCTTTCTTACTTATTTATCTTTCTATTAATTTTTTGTTTTTTATATAATATCATAAAGAATATTATTTGTTTCAAATTAATTAGCACAATATACATTTTTTCCTTAATAAAGAAATAAATTCATAACTTTTTAATTAGGTGAAGATCCTAAAAATTTTATATCATCAGATTTTATTTCTATTTAATTCCTTGTTATAGTGTGTTTTTCAAACTAGTATGAACATGAATTTACAAGTGGACTATGAATTATATGTAATATTAAATTTCCACTAATTAAAAGAGGATCTTTTGTTGTTTTTGCTCTTGCTATTTTATATTGACTTCTAAATAGAATTGCAAAAATTAAAAATATAACTGTACAGAATAAAAATAATGCTGGAATTGACAATTTCAATATATAAAAATAATAGTAATCAAAGGCATTACCAAAAAAATCAAAAGAACTTTAAGCAAAAATAAATATTATTGCACTTATACAAAAGTAATTATTCAAATTAGAATGTATAAACATTAATTTTAAAGCTATTTATTAAATAAATCTAATAAAAAAATTGATCTACCAATTAGAACTTAAAGATGAATAAGAATTTAAAAATTAGTTTTATGTATATGTTTTTGAATTCTTTCTTTTTCTTTATTCATTCATAATCTTTGATAATTAATGATTACAAGATGTTTCTCCTACAATATTCTCTGATTTACCAAATAATAATCCTTATTCTGCAGCTAAACTTGGTAATATGTAATTTACACCTTACACAATTATATTTTAAACATAATCACACTCTGATTTTATTATTTTTTATAAATAAGGGTCAATGAATTCTTTAGTTTTTTACCAATTATAAAAGCAAAAAAAAGGATTATGATCCATAACAACAGATATTAATTTATTTGTTGTTATATTCTCAAGTTGATCTAATGTTTGCTCTAACAAAAATGTATTTATAGGATTTAATGGATTCCATGAACAGACTTTATTATGTATAATACTACTAGTAAGTGCACATAAGTTTTTTTTATTAATGACATCTATTTATGTACTAATAGAATTATTTGTTGAAATTAATGAACATGAAGTTACATAAAAGTAATCAGGATCAAAATGTTTACCTATTCCATTATATAACCACCTTTAAATATCATAATTTGACGTTTTAAAGTATTTTATAATAAATATTACTTTAGGTATCTCTTTTTAATTATTTTCATATTATAAAACAAGAGCATTATTCACTGAATATTGATTTTTTGCTAACTCAATTTTTATTAAAGTTGATTTGTCACAATTCATAAACAATTTTTATTTTACTTCTATATCTAATGAATCAACACCATTACAAAGTATAACCAAATCAACATTTTAATTTTTAAATGATAGAATAAAAGCTTCTATTTAAGATAAGTTTTCATTTTCATAAATACCACACACTAATGTTTTTCTAGATTTATTTTTATATGGTTTTTCTTTCTTTCATATTATGAATAAAATATTACCTTTAGTAAATGTTAATTTTAATCTCTTAAAGTACCTATCATACTAGATTAGCCTACATTTTAAGTTCCTTACATAATTCTACTATTTAATAGTTCCTCTTAATTTTAGATTTATTAAGTTTTATAATTTAAACTATTTTCTTATTTTCTCTTTTTATTTGTTGTTTTTAAATATTAGGTACCCAAAAATATTTTACAAGTAGCTTCATATCTTTCCTCAAAATTTTAAACATTATCATATTCTTATTATAATTAAACCTTAAAATCTTCAATATCATCAGCTAAATATTTAAGATTTCTATTATTGATAAATTCAAATAAAAGTTTATCCTCTTTTGTTATTGGTCTTTAATAGGTCTGAATTATTTTTTATTTATACATTTAATGCTAATTCTTGACTCTCACATTTAACAATTACTTTAAATGGCTAAAATAATAAGTGATTATCATACTATTCGTTCTTAATCTTAAAGTTATATTGTTATGGGATCAGTTGAAATGGTCTCTAAATTGAGTTTCATAAATAATTTTTAAAATATATTAGATTACTTCATTCAAATTTAAATTAGATATTAATTAAAAGCTCTTTATTCTATTTGATTTATAAAAAATAAGAACTATAATGTAATTATTAACATATAAAAAAAAAATAAAAATACAAAAGTTATAATGATTTGATTAAATTAACATCATTAAAAATTGCATATAAATCTAAGTATTATATTTATTTTAATATTCATAGTTTTTTTCTAAAATTTACAGTATTGGTTTAAAGTCCATCAAAAAATTTACTATTGCTTTATAGATCCTACTTTCTTAATGTATTAATTGATTCTTTTTATTACAATTATGAAATACAATGTTCAACTTCATCTAAAAATTAATTAGAATTAAATATTTACATTTTAATTGCACAGCCTCCATATTACCTTAATCAATTTCCAGAATTTTCTTATAACATACTAAAGATTATTAGTATTTTTTCATTAATTTTAATACTTCTCCATATCCAAATAATCCTTTTATATGATTTGGTTATAATTCAAGAGCCTATTTATATTCAACTGAAGCATCATAATTAAATTTGAGCATTCTAAGTGCTTCTCCTTCAAATTAAAAGTCAAAAGATACCTTTGCCATAAAGAGATAAGAAATGTTTTGGATGATACTTTAGAGCCCTATCAAAATACACAATGGCCTTTCTAAATTTATCTTACATTCTTAAAGATTCACCTTTAAAATATATAAAAAATTAAACCTTTTCCCCAAATGGAATTGATATGATTTGGTTTTAATTTTATGGCTTTATCATACCATTCTATAGCATCATCATAATTTTCAATTAATCTAAAATATTAGCCTTTCTTCTTTGAAATTTTTACCTTTTCCAAATGTACTTTATAAATGATTTGGATCCAACTCTAAGGCTTTATCATAAAAACTGTTGGCTTCTGCATATTTTTATTGATTTAATAAAATATCACCTAGTATAAATTGAAATAATACCTTTTGCTGCATAAATATCTGATTATTTATCATTATTATGACTTAAAATAGTTGGTAATGATAAGGCTTTATTTATAATAACTTCAGCATCATATTATTTTTAGAAAGTATTTACACAGAGACCTAAACATAAATAAATAATATTATTACCTTTCCCTGTTAATGCTTATATCTAATTAGGTTTAGTCAATAATGCCTAATCAAAGTACTTTTAAGATTCCAATTCTAATTCTATTTCCTACTCTAATTCAATTTAATGTTTAGGTTTAGCTAAATTTGTTAAATAAAAATACATTTTCCTTGAAGTAATGCTTCAATTTTATATTAATGTAATGCTTTGGCTTAAGATTATATTAATTTTTATTTTACCTTTATCATTTAATTTAGCCTCCATTTATTTATTAATATTAATCTTCTCTAAATTTATAAATTTAATATAATACCTTTCTCTTTCATACGAATATCTAACTTCTCTTTTGTTTGATCTTCTAAAAAACATACATATTTATAATGTAATACCCTTTTCTTTAAAGCGCTATTCTAATTTTTACTTTTCTAATGAATCTAATGATGTAATAACATTTTTTAATACCTCTTTCAAAGAGACTAGATTCTGTTTTCTATTTATTTAATACTTTAGCTATATAAAACTTAATGATAGTAATACGTTTGGCTAATTTATTAAAATCTAATTCTAATTGATAAAGTGCTTTGGCTATAAATTATAAGTATTAATTACCTTTTCCTACTAAACTTGGTACATGATTAGGTACAATACTCAATGCTCGATCATACCATTATATGGCTTTCTAATATTTATCAAATTACTATAAAGCATCACCTTAAATATATTAATTAACAGTTACCTTTTCCACATAATGAATCAACCATATTAGGATCTAGGCTTATTGCTGCATCAAACCAATAAAGTGCCTGATTCCTTTTTTATTGTTACAACAGTTTTTAACCTAAATTAATAGAATGACAACCTAATGCTATCATAGATTTAATGTCATTAGGATTTCTTTTTAGAACATCTTCATAATCATATCTCAATATTTTAGACATTATAAATTTTATTATACATTATCAATCCTTTTTTATTTTACCTTCTTCTATCAACACTGGGATTTCTGCTGCCAACCAAGGTGCTAACTATTAATATTAATCAACTTTAAATATATTACAGCCAATTATAGAGCATGAACAATACCAAATTTAGGAGCGTTCTTCTACCATAAAGGAGCAAAATGAATATCAATACAGATCTTGCCACCTCTGTACATTTTAGGTGTTAAACCATCTAATGATGGAATTTCTATTTCAATAGGTGCCAATGGATATGTTGGAGGAATCTAAATAATAATGTTTTGCTAATACTTCAAATTAAAAATCAAATTCATATCGAATCAAATTATGGACTACCCAACATTTACCTTTCCAACTATTATATTATTATTAATTTTAATTACTTAGTACATTCTTTATTTGCTGGTTCCAATTTTACCCAATCATTATCTTCACTTTTATTATTTTTTATATAATTAATCAAAGCACTATATTCTTCTTTGAGTCTATCTATCCATTATGGATCTCTAGGTCCTGCACTAATTGTAATTGAAGCTTATGGTGTTTGAGTTTACATAATTATTTAATATATAAATATTTCATCTCATTAAAATTACAATCAAGAGTATTATAATAAAGGGGAAACAATACAACATTTTTAAATTAGAGAATTTACTCTCAACTTTCTTTTCGATAATTTATTTAGATACTTTTGGTGGAGTATTTTTTTAACTTTTGATTGGAATCACTAAAAATAATCATTTTGAAATTTTACAATATTATTGAATTGCAGAATTAAGTTTTTCTTTTTTTTCATTCTGTTTATTATGTTATGTTTAATGATTCAATTAATTTTTCACTTTAACAGATGTTTTTATAGTTTATAATGTATTAGCACAATCTGTAATAATGGATTGTTCAGTCACTTCACTCTAAATTATTTAATAGAAATTATTACATCAGAAATGGCATTTTTAGAAATATCTGAATATTATGTCACATATCGAACTCCAGGTAGTGCATTGAATGAACCTTTTTTTTCATTAACTGTGATATCTGTACTTTTTTATTAAGGATCATCTTCTTTAAATGTTTTTTATCCTAAAATCAATAATTTAAGATTGGAATTTTAAGATCTTAGTTTCTTATCTCCTTTAAAATATTTAATTGATGGTCGAGATATTCTAGGGGGGACTTCATTAATCTAATCAAAATATTATTTAAGTTTTTAAATTAGGAAATGATTAATTTGATTAGCAGCAATTATTTTTGGTTTTATTTTTTCTTCTTCAATCTAAGACTAATCAAGATTCTCACTTATATCAATTGATTTAATTTCTCTAATATCTTATTTTTGATTACATCCAGAACTTAGATGAAATAGAAATGCAAATTATGCTTTTATCATCACTTAACTTAATATTCCTATTAATAAAGATGTACTAGCAAATTTCATAGCCAATTACTCTTTAGCACTCATCAATTAATTATTTATTTCATTTTCTTAGATATCTTGGATTGTTAATTATTATATTTACTATTATTAAGAAAATTCCGAACCTAATAAACTTACTTATTGAGAATGAACATTGGCATTATATAAATATTATGAAATTTTTAGTAAGACTTCCAATTTAATTGATTTTATCTTTTAATTGGTTATAAGACTAATCCTTCTAAAGGATTTTGATTATTATATTCGTGTTTTAAGAATTTAAAAGTTTTAAGTTTGTTTTTTTCTGAATAACTGAAATAAAATGGTATTAAAAGATATTTGCTAATTTTTTTTGTTTTGATTATATAGTATTATATAGAAGTAATTGCGAACACGTTTATTATATATTGATTTAATTAATAAACAAGGTGCTATTGAGTATTTTGGTTAAAACTTAACATTTTTCTTTTTTGTTGGAGGTGTCAAATATTAAATTTACCCTTATTAATTTTTATTTAAAATAGGTATAGGATTAGTATTTGATGTCTTGGTTAGAAGTAAAACATCAAAATAATGTTATATTCTTATAGATTTAATTTTATGACAGATTCCTACTATTTTATGAGTAGCAAGTACTATTTTCAATTACGTAAATCTCATGGCTAATTTACAGCTTTAATCTTCTCTCATCTCAGAATAAACTTTTAATGTTGCTTTGATTGCAGAGTTTCTTTAAGAACTTTAACTACTCATACTTAATAGTTGATGCTAATCAGGATTAGTTTTATTTCTTCGTTCAGCAAAATTCATAATAATTTATATTTCAATAATTAAGGATACTTTTTAGGTCTTGCTATCATCTTAAAGCTATGAATTCTTTTGTTTTGATGTCTGTCTGAGAATTGAATGGAATTGAGAGGACTATTGGAACGTAATTTATTTAGTTCTACACTATTATTTCTTAAATTAACTGAACTATCTTACTTTTAATCGAAACTAGTTTATGTTTAGATTTAAGATCTTCCTTATTCCGTTTTCATTCTGAAATAGGATTATTAAGTTGTTAATCTTGAAGTAAAATGATCACTATTATTAGTTGGAATATTGTTAGACTATCCTTATGCAAATAAATTAAGAAATGAAAAGGAATTTTTCTTTAAATCATTCTATTTATAAAGCGAATGCTATTTAACCTAATCATTTTATTAGAATAGGTCTGAAATAGTTGATGACAAAAGAGTTCCTTCTCTCATTGTTTAAGGTTAAACTCTTTGCTTCTTTTTGTTTTATTTGGTTAATTATCTACAAACTCTATCCCTTATTGATAATACTGAATCTTTGTCTAATGGAAAGATATTTAAATTTCTGAATCCACCCTAAATGGAAATAAAAAACCTACTCTTGATTAATTTATTTTGTTGTTGTATTCTGTTATCTCTATAATACTTAATGATTTAGGAGAATGTGATCTAATATCTTAAGTTTTTGTTTTTATAGAAGTATGGAAAATTTCTGTAATAGATTTTCTTTCCACTTTTTGCCTCTCCTTCTAAATTAGTTTTGGTTTATTAATAAAGTTATTCATTATCATTTCATATCTTATTTTCATATATTCCTTTAATATATGAGATCTCTCTTTTAAAATCTTGCAAATTTCTGGAAAGTTTCTTCTAATCTGATTGAATTCATCAATCTATATATAATAAGCAACTGTATTATCAGCACATTAACAAGTTGATTATCTTATTGATTGATCAACTAAAACAGTTTTATATTATTTATTATACATATTTCTTCTTATCCAACCCAACTGTTGTCACTTAATTAACATAATGTTATTCTCACTTTCCCAATCTTTTTAATCAATTCCACTCTCCCTTTGAATATTAACATAAAAAATTTAGATTCTTCCCCTTCCTTCCATAATATACTTTAAGGTGCAAATTCAATTTTATGCATATACTACATAAATTTTGTGATGACAAATTTGCTATTATTTGGTAACATTCTCATAAAATATTCAACATTGTTATTCATATCCTAAAGTGATTTCTCACAAATTTATTTATACTCACTCTTATTCATTGTAATCACATGAATATCTTCAGATAATACTAATATGCTTGCAGTTCTTGGTTTATCTGTATATAAAGATACATCTCCAAATGTTTATCCTCCATAATATGTATAAATCTTATTATATTTAAATATATGAAATACCTTTTAATACAAACAGACACCTCCTTCGAAATATCGATTTGATAATACCCAAGGATCTTCTCCTTAAGCCAATAACAATTCCATATCAATTGTACTCTATAATTTTCTACCTTTCCAAGCATAACTCCAAGGTTCATTTTTATTAGTCTCAAAAAGAAAATCCCTATCCATTTCTATATCATGATTTCCTTTAGGTACTAAAACTCCAACATTGCCTTTTAAAATCATAAAAAATTTATCTCCATAATCACCATAATGAAATATGATTTATCCCTATTTATAATACTCATAAGTTAAAGCTTTTCCAGCATGCATAATAAAATCTCTTAAACTTGAACCTTCAGGACAACTCTTTTTAAAAAAATCTATAGCCATTAAAGAATCAACAATCTATGCCATCTGAGATTCATTAGTCATCTTTATAAAACTTTAAAAACTCTATAATGCTGGTATTAATTAAATTTCTATCTTCTCTCTCTATTCTTAATCGTTATTATTTAAGAAATTGATTGATGATCTTACATTAACTGTTGATTTGTCCATTAACTTTGTACACTGTTATTTAATTATAAAAATAATAATTCATGAAATATATTCTTAAAAGAAGAAAATACTTTGAATTAAATTTATAAATCTACTTAATTAATAAAAATGATCAATTCTTTTTAAAATCTGTGATAGCATCAATAAAATTTGGGAAATCATCTTTATGAATTTCTATCACTGATGTTTCAAAACTATCTTATCTAAATTAAAGATTTAATTCCTAAACTTTTCTTATAAAATATTATCCAAATTAACTAAAATTATTAGAATAAATAGAAATACTTTTTCTCTTATCCACTAAAACTCATACCACCAACCACTCCAACAACCATAAATAATTCACCCAATTAGTTTACTAAAATTACTGACTTATTTGATTATTTATATCCTTTTTCTTTATAGATATCCATAAGAAGTAAAGCTAATTTTTATAAACTTTAAGGATGTTGAAAGAATTTCTTTTGTTAAGGACTTTCATTTTTTAATATTCCATATCTAAAATGTTTGCAAGGATAAAGTTCATTATTTTCTATAAGATTATTTGCTTCATCTACTAATGCTGCTTAAAATTCTAAAGCCATCTAAACTCCTTGTTAAAATAAGTCATCAGATTTACTAATAAAAATATAATTTATATATTTACCTGCCTAAAGTGTCTAAAGCACAAAAGAAATTCTAGAATTTAGCTGCAGTTTCAGAAGTTTTTAACTTTTCAATAACTTCAGAACATTGATGTTACATTAATTATTTAGATAGTAAAGCTTAAGGATATTCAAGAATTGCATTAACAGCATAAACCATATCACTAGCTGCAATTTATATTTTAGTATCAGATTAACGAACAAATGATCTATAAAGTATATCATCCATTTAAAATTTAGATGCCACTTCAGCAATTTAGGATTTCAATATTTATTTGTATTTCTAATTCATGTATCGAAAATCCTATTTTGCTTCATTTAATGGAATACCTAATTTAGCCATAAATTCTTCTAATCTTTTATTGTCTCTATCTTTCCATAATTTGAGTTTAGTTCCAACATATGATGAATAATACATTGAATTATATAATGATTATTGTCTCATAAGCAAAAATTTGTATTCATTTTCAATAAAGACTCCTCCAATCTTTTTAACATCTCCTTAAGTTTCTTCAAAATGTATGTTCAATCTAATAACTTCATTTTGTAATTCTTCAAAGATTACATCATAATTCTTTTAGTTCAAACGCATATGAATATAAGCATCTGTTAATCCAAGAATTGCATACCATAAATGATCATTACAGTCATGATTCATTTATTAAGCCAATGTATAAACAACAGTAGAACTTGGTCTACTGTAATAGGTTCCTTGACTATAATAATCTTCATGCATTTGAATGAGTTATTTACGAAGACTTCTTTACAATTTCTGTTATTATTTTCTTTGAATTTATGATGAATGAGATCCTGAGTCATCATCATCAATTGAATCTTCATCACCATCACTCATTTCTTTGATTTCCTCATCTGGACATTTCTCTAATTAACCCATTCCATCATCTATTATATATATACTCTTTTCATTATTCACATTATTATGATTGATTGGTTTGTGACTATCAAATATGAAGAATTTAATGTCTCCCTTTACAAACTCACTCATATCATACACATTTCCACAATTTAATAAAATAATACTTTTATACATATTCCCACATTTCTAAATTGCTTCAGTCATTTCAGAGTACCCTGATACTGGGATCATTCTAAATTATAGGTTCTCTCTATTCAATAAGGACTATCCATATTATTAATAAAATTACAGTGAGAATTCTTAATGCACATATTGCATCTACATCTAAAGATACTATAATGCATACAGAGGTTTTCCCAAATTCACTTCTCTTTAAGATTTTTTGGAAACATTCCTTAATATTGTTTAATAGGATTTTCATGAAAAAAGGAGGGAATTTTAATTATTATATTATTATTTTTAACAATTAGATAATTTGAATTAATTAATATGAATCATTTTATTTTATTCATATAATCTATGTTTATATATAGTGAATTCAAATTATAATAAGTATGAAGAATGTTTTTAATAATTACATATTTTTACACTTAATAGATTAGGATTATAATAATTAAATTAATTAAATAATTAAAAATAAGAGAAAATGAATTTAATACAATTTGATACTCTATGTCATGATTGCTGTTATTCTTAATCTGTTGAAGTACTTTAAATTTTTATTAATTTAGAAAAAATAAATAGCTGATTAAACAATTTATTAATTTATAGAAGATATCAGAAATATTGATGGATTATATTAAATTATAAGCTAAACTTAGTCAGGCTCTACATTATTTGTAATTTCTGAATTTATAGCTAAAATTATTGTTTCAGAAAGATAATTCAAAGGATTTTAAGTGACTGAGCGTTCCTCATAAGAAGTACAAATAATTGTTGGATAATGTTATACAGGTGATGAAGTGGAAATTTTATATTAAAAGTGTAGAGTATATGAAAATTTGGTTACATTATTCTGTTAAACTTTGTAAAGAGAATTAGCAATTCATGAATAAAATTCAATTTGTAATCTTGTTGGATTATTAATATAATAAATAATGATGTTGAGTGGAACTTAATTTATGAAATTCTAAGATAGATTAAATATATTTTTTGAAGGAAATTAAATATATAATCTTAGTATTGGTTTAAAATTGATATAGAATGTAATACAAAATATTTAGTAATATTCATCATATGATTCTTATGTCTCTTTTAGAAGAATTATGTTTGGATTCTAAAATTAAGAGATATTTAATTGTTTTGAAATAGTGTGTAGAATTGTTAAAAATAGTCCACCTCAATTATATAAATAGTCTTTAAGTACATTAAAGGATATATTAATGTTTAATTTCAATGTGAGTTATTTTGAATTAGAATCTGATTTTGATCCAAATGATTAAAATAATGTTAGTGTAAGAATAAATCTATGACTATTAGTTTCCAGATAAATTCGCTGATTATTTTACAGATTAATAATTTTAAGAGTTATTATTTAAGATTGTAGAGACTTATAGTAATAAAGATAGTTCTTTAGCATTATTAGCTTTGAAATCATTAAAAAGAATGGCATCATCTAAAAAAAAGATATTTGTAAACAAAGACAAAAAGAGATTATTTGCAAAAGCATTATATGATGGTTGTACATATTTATTTTAAAATGTACAATCAACAAATGAAGAAATCATAAGTGATATATTAGAATTGAATACTAAATTAAATAATTGTTTTGGTTTAAGATAAATACGATTTGATTTTGCTTTCTGTTAAAAATGGCTATATTGTTTATAAACATTTTGTATTTAGATTCTGTAAAGATAAATGAAAATTAAAGATCCTCATATGTATTAGATGATAGAATTGATGAAAAGATTACTTAAATTCATTACAGATTTTAAATTAGATGTATCATTTAAAACTTCAATATCATAAACAATTACTGAAATAGGAAAATCCATTATTCATCTTTTACTCAATTCTTAAAACTCCTTTTTCTAAGGTTACACTCCACAAAATCACAAGAAATTAAAAAATACTCTAAAAGAATTCTTTGAAAATCTATTTCCAATTTTATCAATTGATTTAAGTAATCATATAAAAATGATATATCATTCATTTAAAAATGCTGCTTAAGATTAAGAGAAATTTATAATAGAATTAAGTTTAATCAATTATATAGTGATAAATCCATTGATTTTGGATAGATCTACTGAAGAGATTATTTAAATGGTTTAGACTGTTATAAAAGAATCTTTATAATTTTTATCAATTCCATAGAATAATCTTCCACCATTAGTAATTATGTCAGCAATGTCTCTTGCTGATAATTTGTTTTAATTTGCTTTGAGTGAATCAGATGAATCAATAGGTAGATAAAGATCTAATAAGATCTTTTTTGATACCTGTATAAAGCCTATATAAATTTAACCATAATAGGCAACTAATCAATTGCTCTAATATATTATAATGCAATTATAAATTTAAAATAAAGAAATAATAGAATATGCTTTAATAATAATGAAGGAGACTATTGTAAGACTAAAACATCATTTATATAATGAATCATTTTAATCTTCAAATGTTGTCACTTAAATAAAAAGTGTATTACTTAATTTAAAGAATTCAGCTTTACAATAAGAGTAATTTTTTAGTTGTCGTACTTTGGCATCAGAAATTATATCTATACTTTTATTTGATTCAGCTTATGAAAATTATATAGAATCAATAGTATAATTAAATTAATTATTAACAATTTAGCCAACATCTCAATCAATTTAAATATATTTATATGAAATGTTAGGTTATTTTAAACATGTTGATGTTAGTAAGATTTTTAGATTATTAATAAAATAACATTTATTAAAAATAGCTGATTTAACTAAATTTATTTTAATTGATAATCCACAACAATTTTAACTTTGTAAATTATGTTTAAAATTGATGGTTGCTATTACTGACAATAAAAGTCTCAGATTTTAATATCATAGTTCATCTATAGTCTAAATTGAATTAGTTAGGACTTTCCAAGGGATCTTAACTAGTTATGTTTAGCATCTGATTGTTGCTATTTAAAATGATAAAGTTAAATAAGAATTTTCTGCTTAGATTTGTAGATTGGTAGGATTAGTATATAAAATAATGAATAATATACTTAAAGGGAAATATATATCTTAAGCTTGTTAATTGTTATTTGCAGATCGTAAATATTTAGATCTGTTAGTAGCTATTTTAGATATAACAAACAAGATATCCAGTTATATGATTGTAATTATTTATTTAAAATATTTTAGCTTTATAATAAGTCGTGTTTTCAAATGATTCAAGTTCTTCAAGTTGTCAGTTCACAATAATTATAATTATTTGAATTAAGTCCACAATCTTTGTCAATATTAATGAACATAATAGAGAATCTATAAAAACATTTATTACTACAATTATCTTAAGAATATAAGATTTCAACATCTTCATCATATCATTAACCAGCAGATAAAGTTTCATTAGATTAGACTACAGATATTGTTATTTCAACTTTAGAATTTGTTTCAGAAGAATAACAACTTACATAATTAGGAGTTATATAATCATTTGTTTAACCTCTAGATCCTATTATTGATAACATCTTAAATGATTTAATTATCTGTTTAATATAAGGCAAATGTTCTTAATAAACATTTAATAAAATCAACAGACAACTCTTTGCCATAATGTGTACATATTATCAAAATTTCGTTAATGTATTGAGTAGATAATTTGTTAAATCTGAATAACAATTAGGTCAAGCTTTGATTAATATCTTAAATAAAGATTTAGAACTTAGAATCAAATAATAGAATGAAGAATAGTTTAAAAAGAATATGCCCTTATTTTTATCTTAATTTGGAATATTATGAGAATATATTTTATTTTGTTATTAAACACATTCATATTCATGAACAAAAGATTTAATACTCAATATCCAATTGCACCTCCCATGAATGATATCTCAAACTTATACAAAAGAATCAGAATAGAAGAACAATTATAATTGTTTGATGAAGTTATCAAGAAAGTTAAAATTAAGAAACTAATAATCTAATCACCATAAAACAAAGAACCTTTCTTGGTTTAAGCTAAATCTATACAACTTAAAACAGAACGAACTCTTTCTGTTCGTTCACCAAGGATTCCTAAAATATTAAAGAAATAAGTTCTTCCTAAACTTGTTAGATAGAAGCCATCCATTTCTGGTTGGGAAGTAAACATTCATAATGATTCATAAATGTATTATTGATTACATTATAATAAATATCATATCTACTCTCTTAAATATCATAATGAAACATCTGGTTCTTTTACTTAATGAAACTTAACTAATAAGAAATATTTCTTCGGATACATATGTTGTTATGTTATTGATATCTCTAAACTATAATGCATAAATCCAAAAACAATTAATCCATATATAGTACTAACTATAAATATATATCAAAATTAATTTCTGATGGCAGAGACAACTTTTCTAATTGGCCGATCAAATTTAATTAGCTGTTTTTAATCTTATTATTCTTAATTCTAGATTTTTTTCATTTTAAGGTAATACTAAACTAATACTGATAGTTTTTTTAATATAAAACTAATTTATTTTAATCTTTTCTCTTTGATTTGATAACCTAAATATCATGTTTTATTTTTAATTTAATTATTATTGTTACTCTTTCTAAATTTCATTATTTACTTACATACCATTATTAAATATCCTCTTATTTTTATATAACTATTTATGAATCACTTTTGAAAACTCAATTAATTAAATATCATGTATTTTGTTAAAATAAATTAGGAGTTAAATAAATGAGTAAATAATAAAATTAATTTAGGGAACTATCATTTTTCTTCTGTCTTTAAATTCTTATCATTCTTTTTAATAAATGATTAATCTTTTTCATCAATATTTTATTGNTATTGAGTAGATAATTTGTTAAATCTGAATAACAATTAGGTCAAGCTTTGATTAATATCTTAAATAAAGATTTAGAACTTAGAATCAAATAATAGAATGAAGAATAGTTTAAAAAGAATATGCCCTTATTTTTATCTTAATTTGGAATATTATGAGAATATATTTTATTTTGTTATTAAACACATTCATATTCATGAACAAAAGATTTAATACTCAATATCCAATTGCACCTCCCATGAATGATATCTCAAACTTATACAAAAGAATCAGAATAGAAGAACAATTATAATTGTTTGATGAAGTTATCAAGAAAGTTAAAATTAAGAAACTAATAATCTAATCACCATAAAACAAAGAACCTTTCTTGGTTTAAGCTAAATCTATACAACTTAAAACAGAACGAACTCTTTCTGTTCGTTCACCAAGGATTCCTAAAATATTAAAGAAATAAGTTCTTCCTAAACTTGTTAGATAGAAGCCATCCATTTCTGGTTGGGAAGTAAACATTCATAATGATTCATAAATGTATTATTGATTACATTATAATAAATATCATATCTACTCTCTTAAATATCATAATGAAACATCTGGTTCTTTTACTTAATGAAACTTAACTAATAAGAAATATTTCTTCGGATACATATGTTGTTATGTTATTGATATCTCTAAACTATAATGCATAAATCCAAAAACAATTAATCCATATATAGTACTAACTATAAATATATATCAAAATTAATTTCTGATGGCAGAGACAACTTTTCTAATTGGCCGATCAAATTTAATTAGCTGTTTTTAATCTTATTATTCTTAATTCTAGATTTTTTTCATTTTAAGGTAATACTAAACTAATACTGATAGTTTTTTTAATATAAAACTAATTTATTTTAATCTTTTCTCTTTGATTTGATAACCTAAATATCATGTTTTATTTTTAATTTAATTATTATTGTTACTCTTTCTAAATTTCATTATTTACTTACATACCATTATTAAATATCCTCTTATTTTTATATAACTATTTATGAATCACTTTTGAAAACTCAATTAATTAAATATCATGTATTTTGTTAAAATAAATTAGGAGTTAAATAAATGAGTAAATAATAAAATTAATTTAGGGAACTATCATTTTTCTTCTGTCTTTAAATTCTTATCATTCTTTTTAATAAATGATTAATCTTTTTCATCAATATTTTATTGTTTTTATTGTTTATATGATTTTTGCATAATTAAAAATATATTGATTAAATTCAAAATTAAAAGATAATATTTCATATTCTATAATTTTAAATAAAAAATAAAGCTTTGTTATTTAATTAAGACATATCTAAATTATGCTAACACTGACTAATAATTATTTGATTAATGATTTTATGGTTATAATAGTCTTATTAAAATAATCATTAAATTTAGTTTAAATTAATTACTCTAGTTGAGTTGAATATCATTCAGATTTCTATATATATAAGAATTGAATTTACAATAAAATATTTATATAAATATATATTTAAATAAAGTATGTTTAATAAATCAAAATATGCAACATCCAGTACCACAACAATTTCTATTTTTTTCTACTATGCTTTTTTCCATATGTTCTTTGTTTAATTCATGCTATTTAGTTTTGAGATTTGATTTTGCTTTACTCATATTTCTTTATTATGAAATATGGCTCTCTCTTAGACTGTCAATGCTGGCATCCAAGGATTATTTTCGTAAATTAGATTATCTATTTTTTGTAGCATTTTAAGAAATTTTTTTAACTCCAAGCATTTAGTCTGAATCTCCATTTGAATTTTAAACACTATGTTTGCTATTTACTAAATTTTCATTGACTGGATTGGACATGGACTTATCGAATATATAATATTAATTAATACTAATGGAGAATCGAAAGAACCATAATATCCATCAGGTTTATGTATAGGAATATATATGCTTTGGGCAGATCTAGCTTATTTTTTATTAGTTATAATAGGACTTCCCTTTATTTATTATTCAATCCATTATTTTCTGATGCTATATTGTTTTCTAAGATAATTTTTGAAATATCAATTACTTCATTTACAATTTAACTATAGATTTTGTCTAATAATTGATTTCACTTTCCTCAAATTCTTACCAATCACCTACATCACTTACATCACCTTCTGGTAGTTTAATGGGCATTCTTTATAAATTACTTTCATAAAATTTTAAATATCCTAATACAATATCACCAAATTATTGCATTGTAACTATTTCATAATAGCGATATTTGATGTCTTGTATTAGAGATGGATCTTAATTTTTTAAGTGAATATTATTAGATCGATTCAGTTGAATACTTAATCTATTTCTAGACTATAACCAAAGTGGATGCTCTTAACCAACTGTATCTAGAACTGCTTACATATCGGTTGCAGCACTCATGACAATTATAAAATCATTCCAGAGATCTTAAAAACTAATTTCTTACATTTATTTTATATTTTTCAAATAATATTAAAAAGAACAAAATTTTGTTTTAATCATCGTAATTTTGTCTTATTTATGTAGATTAAGTAAAAAAACAGAAAAAAAACATTGAATTTTAGCTATTAAGAAAATAAGTTATTAATTTCTAAGGGAATTTAATTTATATTTATTTCTGATTTTGTTTTAATAAAATGATTTGAAAATAGATTATATAATAAATAACCTAATTTAATTAAGAAAATGAAATAATCTGATTAATAAAAGACTCATGTTTCGAGATCTATACAGAATAAGAAATTAAGAAATATTTCCATATACTTAAAGTACTCATAATAGATATTTGGAATAAAATAGAATGGAAACTATCAGAGATTAATTAAATAATTAGTAATAATACTCTATCTCTTCTCATATTAAAGATCTCATAGTTAAGTAATGATAAATATTGAATTCTATATAGAGATCAAATAAAGCCTAGGTTATTATAACCAATAACAATATTAGATGAAAGTTGTAATAGAGGAGTTAGAAGAATGAAGAAAATATTATATCATGATTCACAAAATATTAACCTCCACAATATTAATTAAAGAATTTAAGAAATATCATAATAGAACTAAAGAAAAAGAAACTATTGTATATTATTTGTCTAAATTTTATGAAGATTCTTTAATAAAATGTATTAGATATGCTCCATAATTTTTTTAAATAAAAGAATAAGCTAATATATATAATATATATGGTGTATTGGAGTATGTTGAATTTAAAGAATTAAAACCAAGATAAGGTATTAATTTTGATCCTAAATAATAATTATCAATCAAAGATTTAGATTCACCAACTAGATCTCCTAATAAAATTTTAACAACAATCAATATTTCTAAACCTATAATGAAAATTAAAAAAAATAGCTAGCTAAATTGAAATTTCTAGCAAAGATGATGATGAGATTTATAAAATTGATTCATCGAAAGGAGAATCAGGAGATGAGAGTGATGTTTCATTTAGTTAAATTAAATTAGATTTCAAATAAAGCAAACCAAAATTAACAATAGAAAAGAAATTAAGAATATCTACTTGTCCAGTAAAATCAGCTTCTTATGCTACTAATTTATTAAAATAAAGTATTATCAATCATGTATTATTTAAGTGATATCTAAATTCAATATTAATTAGAGAACTGGATTATATCAATAAAGTAATATCCTCTAAAATTATCAAGAATTGATTATGAAAATTCCAAATACTATTTAAAATACTCCTCTTCATGTACATATGTATGAAAATATTGTTGCACATTATGGTTAATCATAATATAGTGATGCTTATAGATATATGAGAACAATATAGAGTTTTTTATTTTTTAAACAAAAAGCAGTACTTGTCAATTAGTGGTTAAGTTTTTATAAGGCTTATTGTTAAGTTTTCGTATACTAATTTCATTTGATAAGTTTTCTTAATAATATTAAATTATGATGACTATCTAACTTAAAAGCTGAACATGATATCTAGGATCTTAATTTATATCTACAAATAGTTTAATCATTATAAGAATTTCCAAGTATTTCATACTCAAAATTCATTGATACATTACTCAAATGGTTTTCTGATTCTGATAATAAGGAAAATAATTCATATAATTTTATTTAAAATACAAGGTTTTTTTAATTCTTACTCTTTTTCAATAAAATTTATTTTCAATCTATATTCTTACTGTAATAAGTACTCTCAAAGTGAAATTGATAATATTATATATGATATTTCCACATCAGAAGTATCTTATATGTAGAGTTAGTAAGGACCATTTGATTATGATATCTTAATGTACTAGTTTTTAGAGATTTTCAAAAAATACAAAATTCGTACATCTATTAAATATAATTATCTCTATACATCTATTGATCTAATTAATAAAGGAATTGTTGACTTTTAGTAATGGAATTTCTAATATGAAGTTTTATGTTGCATCAACTATTCATTTTCAATTAGACTTTTCTACTAAGAAGCTGATTACTGTGTAGATAATGGAAGGATGATTTCAAAATAAAGATTTACATTAGTTTGTGATGAATGAAAAATTTTTTAAGAAGATGATCAAATTAAATTATTAGATAGAGAAACCTATTTTACAATAAGAGAAAAAATGAATAATTAATGGATGAAAGAAAAGATAATAATGAAAATTTCATTTATTAAAGCAAACAAAGTAATAATATAATTTAAAATATATATATAGTAAGAATTTGTATTAATTTATTAAGTTTTTAATTCCAATTATTAAAGTAATTAGTTTAATAAAGAATCATAAATAATCCATATTTAATTTTAGTATAATAAATTTATAAAAAGCATTTTCGGTGCAATTAATTCTTTTGTTCAAAATCCAAAGAATTGTTAATTTGAAGCAGAGACAATTTGTTACATGTACAAACTATTATAAAAAACCTGGAAACTTTATTTTCTAGAATCATAATTATATATAGGAATACCTGTAGAATTTTTGCTAATCAATACTACTTATAGAGAATTGGAACTCAAGATTCTTAACAAAAGAAATGAAAACTTTATATTATCATTATCTCACATAAATAATATTTCAATATATTACTAATGATCAAATTTCTTAATAAAGGAATTGAATGATATCTTAATAATGTAATTTGGCTTTATGTCTTTGCATTTTCATAGTTTCAGTTAATATGCCTACTTATACAAATGGTCTTGGTTCCAAGTAAACATTTTTGATTTGTTCAAATCTATTTAAATTATCTTGTTTTCCCTATAGATAATATATGAATATATACTTATTAATTGACTAATTTTAAAACATAAGCTCTAATAGATTTATCCTTACATAATTATTGAAGATCTCCTTAGACATTTAATTTAGCTGCCCATTCTTACAAAAATGTATATTCTGGAACAATAACTCCAACACAATAATCACATATAGAATTACCAAAAATGACAACTTCAGATATGCCTTTAACTCTTAAGTAACAATTTTCAATTCTTTCTGGTGATACATATTCACCTTGAGATAGTTTAAATAGATTCTTTTTTCTGTCAATCAATTTAAGTGCTCCATCAATTATCTCTCCAATATCACCTGTATATAACCAACCATCTTCATCAATAGTTTCTTTTGTTGATTAAATATTATTGAAATAACTCATAATAATACTAGGTCCTCTCATACAGAGTTCTCCTCTAATTTTCTTTTGGCCATCAATAATTTAATCTATTAAGTAATCCATCTCTGGAACACTTACTAATTTGAATTCTTAAGATGTTGTTGGTCCACCAATATGCCCACATACTGGATCATAATAATCAGTTAGAAATGAAGCAGCTGTAGTTTCTGTTTAACCATATCCTTCAATAATTTAACAACATAATGTCACTTTTAAGTATTCCAAAATTTATGCTGAGATTGGAGCAGCTCCAGTAATCATGATTCTTTATCTCCCACCAAAAATAGCTTTAGTCTTAATAAAAGCCTCATCTAATTAATCATGTGTAGTTTTTCCTGTGTTTCTATAATATTATATTTTTTCAGCTAAAGCAACTTCAAACTTTTATTAAATTTCAGAGGGTAAAGAATTTAATTAAGTCTAAATTCCTTCATAAAATCTATTAAAAATTCTTGGTACTCCACAAAAATAAGTTGGTCTGCATCTTTGAATGTCTCTAGCTATGGTTTATATGTTTCCACTAAAATAATTGATTTATGCTCCTCCTGATAAAGCTGCCAAATGCATTACTCTTTCAAAAGTGTGTGGCAATGGTAAATAAGACAAATAAACATCATCTTATGTAAATCCAAAGGTTTCTGAATGTTCAAATTGAGCTAGTCTTGAAGTAAGATTAAGATGAGTCTAAATGGCAGCCTTTGGTTCCCCAGTTGTTCCACTTGTAAATACTATTGTTAATGGATCTAATGGATTCAATTTTGGATATGGTTAAATATTTTCATTCGATCTTTAAATGAAGTCATCCCAAGTAATTACTTCTTTCTATTGATCTTTTAATTTATTTAAGATATTAGGATCTTGAAATCCTACAGTTACTATCGTTTTTAAGTAAGGCAAGTTTGATGAAGCTATAAATCCTATTGTACTAGCTTATACAAAACATACGCTAAATATTAATTATATAATTATACCTTACTTATGTAAGATTCATTGAATAAGGTATGTTTTCAATTCCAAGAGTATCATAGAATGAACAAGATGTAAAACCATATAATATACACGCTACATCTATTAGTGTCCATTCTCTTCTATTGGATAAATAAATTCCAACTGGTCGAATGACATTATTTTGCTAATCTCTTACTTCTATGATAGAATTTTGTTGACAAAGGGATGAACCTAATTATGTTGCAATTTGTAGCACTTCCTATAATCACTATCTATTTCAAACTTTATATGATATATGATCGTAACTTTGGGTTTATTCATTGTAAGTTCCCAAGGTTTACTTATCATAGAACTTTTCAAATTAGATTAGAAGTTACTACTGCATATTCATCTTTCTATTATCTAGTGGTAACAGGTATCCATTCTAAATATTAGTTTATTTTTACTTTAGCTTTTGGATGCCTATAGATTGGAGTTTCATTAATCTTAGCTTCTGATATTGGGTGAAAATATTCTATTTTTATTTACATCTCTAATTTAATAATGATTCAATATTTAAAAAACCATTCATTTAATACTTAAATATAAGATATAAACAATTATACATTTTATTAACTCTTATTAATTTTTTATATTATTATTTTTATTAAATATATTTATGAGTAAATAGAAGTAAACTGATAATAAAACAAATGAATAAATTATTAGTGATTTACGATTTCTTTTTGAAGTCACTAACAACAAACACAAGTAGGATAAAGATTTCTTGAAAAAATTTACATCCTTTATTAAAAAAGAAAAACTCATTGATAAAAAAAATATCGTGAATGAAATGTTCAATCTGTTTAAGTCAGCTTCCAATTCTAAAGCTCTTTATTTTAATACTATTATTGATTGCCTATTGCTTATATAAGGCAAAGACATAAATATTAATCTTGTATTGGCAGAAGTGATAAAAGGTCCTTGTTAAATTGATAAAAAATCAAAAGAAAATTAAGATAATGAAGAAATTAAACTATTTTGTTTTTAAAAATTAGAAATTCAACATATAGAAAACTAACTAAATTTATCTAAAGTGTTAGTATTTATGGAAAGAGTATTAAAAATAATTTCTACAAAAACTAAAGATGAAACTAAAAAAATGTTTTAATTCATGACTTCCATTTAGGATATCTTAAGTTAATAATTACAATTATAAAGCTTAATTTGTATACTTATACTTAAAATTGTATTAACATTAAAAAAAGAATCAGCTTTACAAAAGACAGATATGAAAGTTTTATATTATTTAATTGATGAATAAAGTATTCACTTAGTTTTTAAAAATATCTTAACAATTGCAAAAACAACTTGTATATATATTTTTATTTCATAATTTTAGATGTTCATAAATATTATCATTATATATTTAAAAGTTGTTTCATGCTATTAAGTGAAATTTGTATAAAAAATAAAATGGCTGTATACTTTTAAACATTCTTATGTAGTCCAATGAGTTAAACTCATCTAAAAACAATTTTTAATATCATCAAAGAATTTAATTATTAATTCTTTTAAGACATCAAAGATTTGGTAATTATTTTTTATTTTATTTATAAGCCATATTTATTTGAAAAACCAAGATTTCTAATAGATTATCTCCCTACTAATTTTTTATTAGGATTACTTAATAGAAATCCAGGAAATTGGATGTGTGTTTAAAATTTTATTCAAAATCATATTTAAATTGATGATAAATACTTAAATTTCACACTTGCAAACTTAGCTTAAAGATAATCTAAAATAGTAGATCCAGGATATATATTCTAATCAAATAAATTGTATATTATACATAATATAATAATAGAAAAAAGAAGAATATTATTTAAATAGATTAATTATTGATAGAATCAATTCAATAGTAATAAGATGTTGGAGATTATAACACTTATATTTATTGTTAATTACATTTACTTTTATATTTGAATTCTTATGATTTAACAAGTAATTACTTTAATAAAACATAAATATCTTGTGATTCAAGATTCTTTAAGAGATTATTCTTATTAAAATTGGAAGATAAAATGTATATATCTTATATTTCATATTTAGATACAAATATTAAGAAATTACAAGATTATCAAAACCTAGATAAGGGATTAATTAATACTTCACATTTTAAATCAACAAATAATTAAAACAATTAAAATATCCAATTTCATAAAATCAAATAAAAAATATATATTAAGACATCAAATAAATGCTTAATATAAATTATCATTTCTAATTCCCTTTTATATCTAAATTTTCCTCATATATCAAAGTCCTCTTTAAAGACCTGACTCAATAATTTCTAAATAATACTTTATTTCCATTTGATTATCAATAATATTTTGGTTTAAGTATGATTATTTTCATTTAAAATAGTTTTGATATTAAGTTCATATTCAAAGTAAGCTTTCCAAGCATTTATATATTCCATTTTTAATTCATTATTAGTAATGAAAAAGCCTCATAATGTACATTAAGAGTTAACACAATTATAATTATCTGCTTTAGAAGAAGTAGGGGTGATGTTTAATGAGATGAATATTGAAGATTCGATATTTTAACAAATGATTATTACATCTATTCACTTCTTTACTACTTTAGAAATTAAAAAGAATTCAAAATTAAATTAATTCACTTAGATATTAGAAAGATTAAAAATCTATTTAAGATTAAATTGGAAAAGTGAATAGAGTGTATAAAAATAATATAAATAACTTATGTTAATGGCAGTAGATAGATTTTTGATGTTGAATGGATTAGGGTAATTAATAATAATATATAGGGCATAATCTTTAAAGAATAATCAAAGTAAATTTTTGAGATTTTTCAATAATAATTTAGTAAACAATATTGATTTTATTGAAGTCTTGATTAAGTTAACTTAACATATCAAGATTTAAGAAGTGTCAAAATATTTAGAATATTTAGGAGAATGTTATTTGGGTAGTTTGGCAATTCATTAGTAGAATAGAAGTCTAAAATTTTAATTGTGTACTTAAGTATCTAAGAGGAATATATTAGATTTTATATCATCATAGAAAAAATGCGTTGATTTATTTAGAATAAAACATGAAGGATCCTAATCAACTTTATGAATTACTCTATTTTTTTTAGAGAGAGAAAAGATTGAAATAAGAACAACCAAATGTAGAATCAAATGGAAAATATTAGTGTAGAAAGAAATTAGTCTATTTGTTTATGAAAGAATCATAATTTACAAAGGTGCATTATAATTGTTTATTGAAATTATTAAAATGAAAAAAAAATAAAAACATATATGTTGGATCTGTTACTAAACAAATAGTCACAAGCGATTTAAACCATGTTATTGCAAAGGATCTTTGTCATATATTCATAGGAAATGTTTAAATGAGTGGGCAACAAAATAGTACAATCAAAACAATTAGATAATAAAATGTCCTAATTGCAAATATGAATATTTATTTGCAATAAAAGAATGTTATAAAGTAAACCTAAAGGTTATTTAAGTTGCGTAATTTTTCAACATGGCAATTTTGTGATTCAATAGAGAAGATTGTCTTAATATGCATGACATTAAGTTTAATAATAATATCTGGACTCGATTTTATGTCAGTGTCAGATTACTTGCAAGTTGATGAAAATGATAAATAAGAAGTAACAATGTTTAAATGGGTAAACAGAGTTCATTTTGGAACAGTTTTAATTATACTCTGTTCGGCAACATTTAATATTGTCCAAATGGCTGTGAGTAAAACTGAGTTAGAAATTTTGGATATACGATATTGATAAATCTACTATTTTTGTTGTTTATATAGATTTATAGTAATGAATTAGAAAATAATAGATCTAAATAACTAAACCATAAGTGAATAACATAAATAGTTAATTATTTATTTATTTGATTTGAGAAATATTAAACAAATATCAATTCAATATAATGGAACCAACTGTTTTGTAATTATTTAATTCGATATCATCATCTATAGATTTATGATTCACTTGAATATTTTCATCTTTTATCTCGTCAATTTAACTGACACTTGTCTATTAATAATTATAATTTTTCATATCTGTTTCTTTATTCAATTATTTAGATGATGAATAAAAATATATATGATTTCCTATTTCATCTAATTTATCTATTTTCTTTCTTTATTCTTATACACTTAAAAATATTGTGCTGGAACAGTATGGCTCTTTTGTTAAAACCATATTTTAATCAAATTATTCAAGCCCTAGTAATTCTTCTGATATCGATAAATTCTTGGATTTATCCTAATTCAAAGATAAAGAAATTGTATTTTAATGATGCTCTTGATTATAAGGATATAACCAAGGATGTAAAATGAATTCTAATAATAATTATTATTTTCAAACCTTTGGATGTTAATCTTTTCTCTGGTTCTTTTCTTAATAATCTTTTTAATAAATCCTATTGCAATTAGTCTAAAGATTCAAATTGTGTAGTGTTCTCTACATTATAATTAGGATCACATATCATTTCAATTGTATCTATAATTTAATCATTTTAAAATGGTAAATCATAACAAAATAATTAATAAACTATAACACCAATTGACCAAATATCGACTATATAATTATTTATAAGTACCTTTTTAATTGTATCCTCCTCCAGCAAAGATTTCTGGTGCTTAATAAAATAATGAACCAGTTCTTGTCCACATTTCAATATTCAATGTAGAATTTCTAGTTTTGGTGACGAACTTTTTTGAGACTCCAAAATCTATTATTTTAATTTTTGCATCATCATCAGTAATTTACACTAATATATTATCTGGCTTAAGATCTCTATGACATACACATTTGTTATGAATAGTATCTATTGCTTTGGCAAGTTCATAAATTAATAATTATTGTTATTTGATTGATAGTGATATTTTTTATTAAATAAGTTTGTCTAATGAAGGATACGGACATAATTCCATAACAAGATGAATTTCTTCTTTAGTAACATTAATGAATAGATCAATAGCTTTGATCACACATTATAAATCATTAAGTTATCTATTGATCTTAAAGGTTTTTTTAATTGTACTAATAATTTCTGGATCACCAGTACGAAATATTTTTACTGCATACTGAATTGTATTTCCTTCTAGTTTTTTGTAACATATTTTTACAATCCCATGTGCTCCCTCGCCTATTATACTTAATTAGATTACCAAGACTCTTATTCTTGTAGCAATAAACTTCATTAAAATTTTTGTATAATGTTATTGATGGCATTTCATTAATTTGAATATTCTCATTGTGTTGAAATTAATGTTTTTTACCTTTAAATAAGGTTTATTTGAGGGTTTATCTTATCTAATTTGCATTATTGGTTTTCATTGGTTACACAAATTTAATAATAAGCGATTAATTATAATATTACAATTTGTAAAAGAGAGAAATTATAAATTTTGAATAAATCATTTATGGTCTTCATTAATTGATTTGTATTAATTGATTTTCTTATTACTTATGAAATTATTATGTCTATCTTAATTTATCTAAAGCAGTAACAATTTTTGTTTCTATTGTTTAATTTATCTCTTCATCAATTTAATTAAGTTTTGTAATAATGTCTTTCATTTTCTCTTCTGAAAATTAAGGTTCCTCTTCATCTGACACTTCATCAGTTGATCTATTTTCAAATTAAAAATCTTGCCATTCATTATTATTAAATATTTTATCATTATTTTCAATCTACTATTCAATTTATTCATCTTGCTCTATAATATTTGTTGGAAGATTTGTAAAATCAAGTCCTTTCGTATAAGGGACTGTATCTAATTTTAATTACTTTAAACGAGAATGATAAACATTACATGAAATTTGATTCAATATTTTCGTATTGTTTAGATATCTACAATATTTAACCTAAATGTATACTTTATAGCATCAATAGCAGAATTTACTTCATCATATTCAATAAAGACTTTGGTTAACAATTAGCCTCTCTCAAATATTAATATCTAAATTAATAAATATGATCGAAAAGTAATACTTTTGATATTGAACCATGTTTGGAGAATATCTTGAGCAACGATTAGTTATTGATTTAAATATTATTTTGAGTAGTTTTTAAACAAACCAAAGCAACTCTAGTTGGCGTTGGATCTCTCTTTTTTTTCCTTTAAGACATTATATAATAAATTAATTAATGTTTTTCTCACTCTCTTCAATACGAAAGCCTAAACAAGAATTCAATTTATTACATTTAGAAACTTAAGAATACTACTTTTTATCCCTTAAAGTCTCACTTCACAATAATAATGAGTAACAAAATCCATATAAGAATAGAATTCGTGGTAAATTACACATCTGTTCCCGTTCTTTAGTATTTCAACCAAATCAACCAAAATTACCAATGATTAAGATGAAATACTCAAATAACCTTATAATGAAGATTTTGCGTAACATTGATACAAAAACTATGAATTAAATTATGTCAATCAAATGGACTTCTTCATTATTAATGGAAGATATTGACTCATTAGATATTAATTAATTGTATTAACATTTCAAAAGAGATAAAAATAATGAATTATTAGATAAACTATACAAAGTTTAATCCAGAATTGCTAATTCACAATATACTATCATGTTTCTTAGAGTAGATAAACTGTTTGTTATTAATAGAAATCCAATCAGTCCATACATTACTGAAACTGTAAGCTAATTTCATTATCATCTAGTCCGATGAGAATATTGTCTTTTCAATTTCATAATCAAATTCAAAATAAAATATTATCAGATTTCTTAAATTATATTAAGGACTTACTTAAGCAGAAGATGAAAACTCATTTATTAATACAATTATCAATACAACATTAAATGAAGCAATGAATGAACATAGAGCATAATCATCATAATAAGGACTTAAAATTGAAATAGCAGTTAAATGTAAATTGATTAATCCTGAAGGAAATATATATGGATTATTTTCTATTTAAAGAGATGAAGGAATTAAATATATTCCATTAATTAATTCACCAAAAGGAAAGATATTAATGTGGTAATTGACTGAAATAAAATTCTTCTTGAAATATCGTTACATGTTTAAATAAATAGGTTTAGAAATATGGTTCTTCAATAAAAAACGTAGTGTTTTACTTGTTTTTGAAGATCCATAATAATTAGATACAGTCTATAAATATCTAATCAGAAAAACTACAAAAAATTAAATAAGTTCTATTACAATAGAAAATTTAACTGAACTTTGGGTTAATGGAGGTTTGAGCAATTTTGATTATCTTATGTCATTAAATACTTTTTCTAGTAGAAGTTTTTGTGATTTATCTGCTTATCCTGTATTTCCTTGGGTTATTGCAGAATATACAGATAAAACATTTGATTTAACATCTCCTGAATTTTTTAGAGATTTGTCTCGTCCTGTTGGTGCTTTAAATAAACATAGATTATAAAAATATAAATAATCATATTAAGATTAATTGAAAAGTTAAAAGAACAATAATAATAATGATATAATACCTTATATATATCCAACTCATTATTCTAGTCCTGGAACTGTTGTTTATTATTTAATAAGAAAAATACCTGAATTTGTAATTAAATTATAAAATGGTGTATTTGGACCAACAGATCGTATTTTTAGAGGTATTGATAGTACTTGGTATACAACATTAAATTTACATGCAGATTCTAAAGAATTAATTCCAGAATTCTATTCACTTGATCCAGATTTTTTGATTAATTGTGATAAATTAGAATTGGGAATGACTTAAGAAGGAGAAATAATAGATGATGCCATAATACCTCCTTGGGCTAATTCTATGACAGATTTCTTATTAAAAATGAGAATGGCTTTAGAGAGTGATTATGTAAGTTCTTAATTGCCTAAGTGGATAGATTTAATATTTGGATGTAAAACTAGAGGAGATGAAGCTGTTAAATAAGATAATTTATTTTATCCTTATACTTATGCTGAAAATGTGAACTGGAATTAATGTAGAACATCTATAGAAAAATAAGCTTTGGAAATTTAGGTAGCTGAATTTGGATAAGTACCTATATAATTATTTAATTCATGTCATCCAAATAGAAAATTAAAAATTCATCCTTCTTTAAAATAATAATAATAATAATTAAATTCATCAAGTTAAAGAAATCTATAATTAACTGATATTTAATAAGAATCTTAGAATAAAGATTATGTTACATGTTTGTAAAATTAAGTATCATCATTATAATGGGAAAACGAAAAATTGAAATTTAATTTAGATACAATTAAACAAGAATTATAATTATAAAAAATTGAGACATTCAATTCATAATATGATTAAGTATATATAATTAATTCTATCTTATTTAGGAGGAAATTGATAAAAAAGGATAAGATTTGATGAGTGACGATAGTATATATCAGTAAATAAAAATATGATGTTATTTATAATATTTAACTATCATATTATAATGTTTTATAGTTATTATATTTTTTCTGATAAAATTCATAAATAATGTTTCCAATCGATCTTGCCAAACTAGCCACCTTATAGTCTAAGGTATAAAATACACTTATCTTGCATATATATCTATACTTACGTTATAAAAATACTTATATTCCTAATAATTATGTTAGAGATTAGAATCAGACTTCAAGGTACTAGGGAGGATAGGAAAGGGTGGATTCTCTAAAGTTTATAAGGTGAACAACTTATTGGATAAGAATACCTATGCTTTAAAAAAAGTATATTGTGTTTATAAATTTTATAGATTGAACTCAAAGCTAAAGACATAAAAGACAGTCTTGAGAAAAATATTGAAAGAGCATAGAGAGGTATATAATGTTGATCAATAAGTTCCTTAGAAGCCAAATACTTAGCCCGTCTATCACATCCCAAAATTATAAGATATTTCAATTCTTGGGTAGAAGTTATGTAGAACAAATTAGATTCAAAAATGATGAGAAAATAAGAGTAAGATTAAAATGATTTTGTTATTGAACGAAATAATTTTAGTTTTTGTGATTCTTAATCGAATTCAAGGAATGATCTTGAAAATTTAATAATGTTTAAAGACACTTAAAATGAATAGATAAGTTATTCAGAATAAGAAAATGAAATATAACCAAAATCTAGAGTAAGTAGAAAGAAACAAAATCACAATACTTAGAATAAGAAATCAACTAGTCAAGATGAGAAAAAATTAGAGTTTGATAAAATCATATTTTATATCTAAACTGAATTTTGTTAAGAAACATTAGAAAATTATTTGTAATAAAGAAATAATGAATTACTTAAATTAAAGAAAAAGAATATTGAAAAATATTAAACTAAACTTTAAAAATATGAAAAAGAAGCTAAATTAATATTAGAATAAATTATAAAAGGATTAGATTATTTACATAATGAATGCAAATTAGTTCATCGTGATTTAAAACCAGGAAATATCTTTATGAATAGTCCAGAAGATGTTAAAATAGGTGATTTTGGTTTAGTAACTAAATTAAAATAATTCTATGATTTTGATGATTAAGATAATGATGATGATATTTGTACCAAAATGTATGCTGCTCCTGAATAAATCATTTAAAATATTAATAAAGCATTTTATGATTAAAAAAGTGATATTTATGCTTTAGGATTAATAATACTGTTATTGTTTCATCCAATATCTACTTCAATGGAAATGATTAAAGTAATTAATGATGCCAGAAAAGGCATATTACCATCAATACTTAGAGATAGACATAGTAAAATAGCTGAAATAATACTGGAATGTTTGAATAATGATCCTAAATAAAGACCAAATATTAATGAAATAAGTTTTTAAGATTCATCTAATTCATTGTCTTCATCAAAAAAAAGTAGTAATGAATTTAGTAGTGATACAACTGATTATATTATTAAAAATATTGGTATATGCTAAGTCAAATTTGAAGATGAGGATATTTAAGAGAAGTAATAATTTTAATAATAAATTTAGATATTTGATTTTTAATAATAGATAAATTTAGATTTTTAAAAATTAGAAAAGTTTAAAGGCTTAAATGATTTATAATCTTAATGAATGCAATATATCTTATATTGATGATAAGATTGTTATATAACACAGTTAATTAGAAAACTTTTCATTTACAACTACACATAATTATTTATAAGATATTTATGATCAATTATGTGAACTCACTTAATCATTCAATTGATTATTATAAATATATTTATATTTATAAATTATTTTATAATCTAAAATCATTCATCCTTATTTAAAATTACTTTTAAACATTTAGTAAACGAATTCATTTCATTTATATAGTTATTTTTTGCAAGTTCCAACTATTATAGTCTTTCTTGCAAAAAATGATAATTTTATTAATATTATTAACAAGATTCTGTCTCTTGCATTAATCTATATTCAAGTAATTATTTTTATCGCTTCAAAATTTATAACTAATCTTAATTATTTTATTTAATGACAACACCAGTTTATTATTCTATATCACTATTTTAACTTCTAGAATTTGTCTGATCAGATGAATTATTGTGAGAATTTCTATTTGGAAATGTTAAGGTATTTACTTTTATCTTATTTAAATCTATTGCAGGTGGTTTTATTATAGTGATAGGCTTCCTACAAAATCTATATCAATAATAACTTAATTATTGTGGAAGTGATGGATTTTGCCCTTGTTTTACTCATCATAGGTTATTGCTTTCCTTTTGATGTTTCTGATGTGGATATAGCTGACTTTTTTCTTAAAGAGGAATAGCTTTACGAATTATTTTTTATCATTTACAGATAATAAAATGAATGCGCTGATCAAAGAAATTTTGAATAATTTATATATTAAAATTAGTATGAACAACATTAAATTTTAAATCATTTGACATACGTTACTTTTATTTGATATATATTCAAATATCAAAGATTACTTAGAATAATATATATATAGTCATGAGAGAATTGAAAAAAAATATATTTAAATAAGAATTTATTTATTTATAATTGGAAAATATAAAAAATATCATTTAAGTTTGTTATTCAAGATTACTTGTAAGTTAATTCAGAAATTTATACATTTTCATTTCATGCATATCTCTAAACTATATATAACTTTATTATTAATTATTGATTAAGTATTAAATTATATAAAGAGGATTAATTAACATATCATATCCTTAATTTAACATATTTATTTATTATAAAAGGAGAATTATAAGTATTTAATTTAAAAATAATTATACATATCAAAATCTAGAATTAAATAAGACAATAAATATATTAAGAAATTGAAATTTAAACAAAGTAATTATTCAATAATTATAAGAGTTTAATAAAATAATTAGTTATAAATAGATAAATTAGAAATTAAATTGATTCTAATCTAAGATATTGACTTAGGCGATTAGATATATTTAAAAACATTTACAGATTTATCTAAAATTTTATATAAATATTGAATTTATAAATTCAAATGTGGATGAAATATTTAATATTAGTAATTATATTTTTTAATAATAAAAATAATAAATGCAATATTATTTAAGATGAGTGAATTGAAAATAAAAATAATTGATTATTGTAATAAATTTATTTTATCTATAAAACAATTCTAATATTAAATAATTTTAAAAAGTTGATTCATCTAATATTATCAACTGATAGCTATGCAATGAATTAACAAGAATGAAATACATAATTTAATATTAAGTTTATTTAATATAAATTTGTTTTACAATGCAACGCTAATAAATGTTACCAACACCAAGGGAAAACAATTAGCAAATGTACAAAGGAGTTGAACCATTCATAAAAGGAAACGATTTATAAGGTAGGAAAACATAAAAGACAAAGGATTATAATTTGGAAGCCATGTATTAATATTATTAAATAACATCAAAGATAACCAATATATCAAAATTCATAAGAAAGCTTATCAAATTGTAATAGTAATAAATCTAGTTCTAAAAATTCACTTGGCTTTGATTAATAACCCAGTTATATGGAAGAATAATAATGGAAATCTTCTCATTATCATACAAATACTGCACCAGTCCATTTGTATTAAAATATTAGTGAAAATGATGCTGCCTTTTTGATAAAAGATTAAGATACAGGTAGTTATTACTTTAAATAATAGGGAATGTTTATGATATTAGAAATGCAGAAAAGATACCTGTAAATAGAGAGTATATGACAAAATTAAAGAAGAGACACAAATCAGCATGGTAAGGTTGGTGGTAATAAAAAAAAGAGAACAATCAATGTTTATTAAATTATGTTAAATCAAATAATATAAAAGAAGTAGAGAAACTTTTAGAAATTACATCTAAAGATTTGAAACCTGAAATCAATATTAGAGATGAAAATGGTATTAAATATCATTATATTTAAAGGATTGATCCCATTACATTATAGTTGCTTAAATCAGAATTATGAATTAGCATTATTATTATTAAAAAATGAAGCAGATTGTGACTTAACAAACTCTTAAGGATAAACGGCATTAAGCATTTGTGCTTAAAAAGGATGTGAATATATCCTGTCATTATTATTAACTATAGGTGCAGATATTAATCATATGGACAATCTTTAAAATACACCATTACATTATGCTTGCTATTTTTGTAAATTGCTGATTTAAACTTAGAACATAAGAGAGTTACTGAAATCTTATTAGCTCGACCTTCAATAATGATAAATATTAAAAATCTAGATGGCAAAACACCTTATGATTTAGTCCAAAATTGTCCTGCTCTAAAAATGTTATTTGATAAACACTTGAAGGTAGTGAATCAACTTAATTAAGATGAAATAAGATTCATTTAACTAATGTTAAAGAGTTAGAATCTTTGAAGAAACTACTGAAAGAGTAATCACTTCTCCTAATAGCAAATAATAAACAAATGCTTATTAAATGTTAAGTCGTTGTTAGTCTCCTTAAAAAATTGAATATATGAATTCACATTCAAATAGATCAACAGCATACATTCATCCTGCATAAGATTATACAGAAGTAATTGGACCATCTTCAATTAGAATAATATTACAAATAGGTAAAGGTTCATTTGGGGATGTTTATTTGGTTGAAAAGAGAATGACTGGTAAACCTAATTAAGGACCAAAACTAGCAATGAAAGTATTACCAAAAAATAAATTTCTTGGATAAAATTTATTAAGATATGCTTTAACTGAAAGAAATATATTATCTTATTTGAATCATCCATTTATTGTTAAATTAAGATATGCATTTTAAACTAATACTCATTTATGTTTATTAATGGACTTTTGTCCTGGTGGTGATCTATCTAAATTAATATAAAGACAATTAAGATTATCAGAATAATAAGCAAAATTATACTTTGCTGAAATATTGACTGCATTAGAACACTTACATTAAAATGACATAATTTATAGAGATTTAAAACCAGAAAATGTTGTTATTGATTAATATGGACATGCAATGTTAACTGATTTTGGATTATCAAAAGAAGGGATACATGATAATTATGGAGCCAAAAGTTTTTGTGGTTCTATGGCATATTTAGCACCAGAAATGCTTAAAAGAGTAGGTCATGGTAGGGCTGTTGATTGGTATCATATGGGTAATTCAATTAAATTAAAATAGGAATTTTATTATATGAAATGATAACAGGTAGACCACCTTATTTCTCAGCCAATAGAGATGAAATGATGAATAATATAGAATAAAATAATATTCAATTTCCAGATACAATTACTAAAGAATGCAAATCAATTATCTAATCTCTATTGATCAAAAATCCTATGTAGAGATTAGGTGCTTCATCAAGAGATGCTGATGAAATTAAAGATCATCCATTTTTAAAATAAATAAATTGGAAAGATTTATTAAATAGGTATTCTCCTTATATATTAATATAGAAAATATAAACCACCAATTCCAGTAATAAATGAAGAAATTCTAAATTAAAAATTTGATATTCCTTTTGATTTTATACTTTCTGCAGATAAATCTAGTGCAATTAATTATATAAATGGTTGGTCATTTGTTAACAATGATTTTGTACAATTTTGATTTATTTATATTTTTGATTATTATTATTTAACTCAGTAATTAGTATATTAAAATAAATCATCTCTATTTTAGCTATCATTAGGTTAAAATGTCCAGTGTTGACTTTGCTATTATAGTTCACAAACCTTTTATTAGAATTCTTATATCAACTCCACTTTTTATTGTAATTGTTATGATATTGTCTGTAAATAGGATTACATATCATTTTAATTCTCATACATTGTAATTTCTTTCATTTCCTAAAATAAATTAAAATTTATTAAATACCAATTTCGATATCTCGATAATTTTATCTATTAAATTTTTATGATCTTAAACTATGGATGAATAATTGTTATGTCCTTATCTATATGATTTTTATGGATTTTAATATTCAAACTCTTCTTCTAATTCTTAATTTTATTAAATAGCCTGTTGATTTAATTATCTAAATCCTTGTTCTTATTATGATTAATAAGGTGATTCACTAAATAATTCACTATAACTAGCAGTATGATTAAATTAATGTTATTAAAATAGTTGATTTTGTTATTAAAAGGAATTTTATGTCTTTAAGAATTAATTATTCTAATTATTATTAAAATGATCATAATCATTTTAGTATGTACTTTCAGAATTTATTCTTTGATGAGTAGGAAAATAATTATTTGAATTAATTTATTAAGTTTTGTTAAAATTAACATTAATAGATGGGATTGAAGATAGATTAAATTTATTGATAGCAGAAGAAATATCACTCTTTCTAATTTCTTTTTATTAATTGAATTGTTAATTATTAAACATTTAAGTAGATTAATGTAATGGTTATAATGATTGTCTTTTTATATTAGAAATAGGACTAAAATTTCTTATATTTTCTTAATCATCTTCTTCATTAAATTATTTTCTTGTAATATTTTCTATAAAATTATTAAATATTATTATTATACTTGTTTATCTAGCCAACATTAATTCTCTTTACATTAAATCTCCTTAAAAAAGTCTATTTTCAGGTTTTTTTAATTCTTTTACTCTATCTGCATATCTTAGAGTATTTAAAGTATGTTCACTACTTTAAGAACTTGGTGAAATGTTACCAATCATAACAGTTTTACAATTTCCAGTTAAACTATCTTTTAATACTAAAGTTAATTTTGATCCTCTAAATGGTGTATGATTTTTATTCAAATCCAATGCTCTTATACATTCTTTTAATGCTAATAATGATTTATTTATTTCAGCTCCATCTATTCTGGTTTATTTATTTTAATCTTATACATCAGCTCCTCTTTCACTACCTGCTAAATCTATGAATGACATCTTTCCATGAATTTACTTTCCAGATTTTAATATCACTTATAATATGGCATGTGATCTTGATGATTCAGAATTTGAACTATTTGATGCTATTATTTTTAATTTATTATTTATACCTGTAATTCTAACATTCTATCCCAATTAAATACAATTCATTAATTATTATACTGAATTTATCTTTTTCTCCATTAAATTTATCATATTAACATTTCCTTTTGCATCTTCTCTTATTTAGATTTAATTCCTTTAAGATAATAAATCAAATAATTTTCCACAATAAATTTCAAAAAATGAAACATACACTTAAAGATGTGCATATTCTTCCTAATTTTTTAATTAATTTAATAGTTTTACCATTTCAATTATTTAAAATATATCTTATCCTGCCAATAAATACATTCCAGGTACTTATCTTTCCATATCTCCTATCATTGTATATGTTTTGCCACTTCCTGTTTATCCATATGCAAAACAAGTCACTTTAGCTCTTTGAAAGGCTGCACGAATTATAGGTCTAACAGCATTGATGTAAACTTATTCATTAGAATGATTTTGATTGAAAGCAAGATCAAAATTAAATTAATGTTCTTCAATATACTTTGTGAGATCTACTTTTTATCTTTACTCAATTAATTTATTAATCTTACTTAATTTCTTTAACGATCACACTATTATCGTTTTACACAATAATTATGTCTTCCTCTTTTTTAATAATTTCCTTTTAAGATAGAGGTCTTTTTCTTATGGCAACAACTATTCTATCAAAAATATCCATCATTCTTTCTGAAATTGTGATTAAGAAAATATTATATAAAAATTAATTTCTCAAACAACTATATGTTCACATTAAAATTCTTATGAATAATTTTAATTGCTACTATTTTCATAATAATATCAGCCATTCAAAAGTAATTATCTCTTATAATTTCCTATATTAGTCTTAAGACACATTCTTTTATTAATAATATAATTATATTTAATGTTATTGTTTCTTTTATATATTACATAAAGTCTATGTTATTTGATATTTGAATAAAAAGGAAGAATAAACAATTCATTACATATTGATATGGACATTACAAAAGAAGAAAAATAACAATTAGATAAAGATAATTTATGGTTTGATTTTTAATTTGATTTTCCAACACCTATATCAATTCAAATTGAAGACATCATTACTAATTTAGATTAATTACTTTAAGTTTAAGTTTAAGATGCATAATATGGTCTATTCATATGCAAAGATTTTTAATTATCTAATTAAAAGACTACAATTATACTTGATCCATTACCTTAATATTAAGAATAATGGTATAAATATAAAGTTTAGGTAAATAAATATCCAAGAATACTCAACAGATTTTAATCTGAATTAGGTTTTACTAAATATTCTGCCGAAGTGATTTATAATTTGAATATGACTTATGAAACATCTGGGTTTTATCAAATTGAAATTAATTATTAATATGGATCTGGAAATTTGGAACTTTAAACATGTAAAAGTAATCTTTGCTATAATTAAACTAATCAAACCAATATACTCTTAAATTTTTCATAAATAGAATGCACACTAATTTAAATGGATTCTTTATAGGATCTTTGTAATCATCAACTTAAAGTAACTACAATTAATGCAACATTTTATTATCTTACTTTTAAACACTATAGTTCTGCGAATGTATAATTTGTTAAACCTAATAAAATAACATAAATTGACATATTAAATAAGGAAGCTTCTCTTGTTTTGGATCATTTAAATTCTCTTAATTTTATATATATCACTTAAAAGATAAAAGCAATCTAATACTCTTAAAACTAAAGAAAATAATTTGATAGTAATATTATCATTTTTGCTAATGAAGTATAAAATTTACAAGATTGGGATTAAAACTTTTATATATAGTCATCTTCAAATTAAAAATTAAAATTATAATATCTTAATTAAATTTAGATTCTATATTTGAATTCAAATTTTAAATTAGAATAAGAAGAAGATTCTTATCATTTCTATTGTGTTGAAACTATATTTCCTGAATTTGTATTTGAACTTTTTGTTTATGATTATGAATTATTAGTTTAAATTTATTTCTCCAATGTCACCTAATATCCTAATGAAAATATGAATCAATTTGAATTAATTGAATCAAATATCAAATCTATTAATATTAATGCTGATACAAAAATGTATATTGGTATTAAAACTAAACATAAATCTCTTGAATATTAATTATATATAAGAGATCCTACTTTCTATTTTTTAAATCTTTTTTAATTAAGAAAATTTAGCTATTGTAAAACATGTTAGATAGAATTCAAATATGCTTCATAATTAAAGACAGAAATTCAAATCCATATTTATTATCATTAAATGAGGTATGAAGAAGACAATTCTCTATTTTAAATATTATTAATAGAGAACGGGAAATTCATAAAACCCATATAAATTTACCATTCAAAAAATTATCTAAGATATTCTCTTTTAACAGAAGTTGGATTTTAATATATTATTCTAACAAAAAGTAATATTTAATAGGATCTATAAATAATGATAACTGATAAAAAAATTTTAGAAATTTAATTTGACTAAGATATTTGTTCAATTGATTTCTCTGTAGAAATTTTCAAAATACAATAAACAAACAATAATATTTATCATTTATATTTCAAAGAAGATTTAGAAGAAACAATTAAAATCATTAATAGAAATGGTTAATCAGAAGTTACAAAAATTGCATAAAATTATTATAAAGTCTAATTTTAAAATAATCTAATAGAAGATGCTTATACATATTTTATGATAGAAGGTATTAAATCATAGTCATCAATAATATTATAAGTATAAGAAAAACCCTATAAAAATATTGAATTGATATCCCATAATATATTTCTCTCTCCTCTTAAATATGAACAACAATTAAAAGGCCTTACTCTATATATTTAAATTCTTGATTGCTCATAATTAAATTGTGATGAATTAAATATTTAAAAAATTCTTATCATCACTAAAATAGGTTTTAAAAATAAATCTATTGAGTATACAAAAGGATATTACAACTTAAGCGAATATCATTCAACTTTAAATGATTTTTATGATCCTATTTCTAACATTCAAACAATATAATTGATAGCATCAATTAATTAGGATAATTATAATTTTAACTTTAGTTCTACAGAATTTTAATTATTATTAAAAAATTAAATAATGATATAAAGATAAGAACCTCAACTAAAAAATCTATTATTTGCTATTTTGTATATAATTTTCATAGTTTTTCTTGGATTTATAGTTTTTAAAATGATTTTTAGAAAGAAAGTAACAATAATTCCAAAGAAAATTAATAAAAGATCTAATAATTATGAAGATGAAGAAGAATCAATATCAATAGATGATTTATGATATTATTATTAATTATATATTCTTCTATTCAATCAAATTCCTCAATCAAAACATCATCTTCATAAAATTAGTATCTAATATTTAATATATTTTATACCTTTGTGACTCCAAATTATCATTAATATAAGACTTTTTTACAAATACTTCTATTTTCTTATCATTCTTATACTCTCCTATTAATTGTATCTTCTTTTAATTAGTAGGCTTAATTAAAGACAAACTCTTGAAGAAGGATTGATTCATATCTTAGGTCTCTATTTCAATTTATGTCTCTATGATTTTACCATGTTTTTTATTTTCAAAAAAATCTCCTTCAAACCTTTCAAATTAATAGTTAATTATTACGTGCTTTCATAAAAAGGAGTAATTTTAACTATTTTTCCTTTGCCATGCATCATACCCTTATATATCTCACCTTCATAGTATTCATTTTAATTAATTTAAATTTTACCTAATTATTTAATTTCTTAGATTCTAATTAATAGAATAAATAATACTTTTCAACATTAGGTTTATCTATATTTATTTATCCAAATTCCTGAATGATTTATTATGGTATATTATTATTAGACTTTTCTTCTTTTATAATAGAATTTGAATTAGATTTACCTTATTAATTTTCTTATTCACATAGAATTGAGGGAACTTTTATGTCTATGTCTATTTTTTGAAATGGTGAGGCTAATTATAAAACTTGATAGGCATTAGCTAAATTAGATTGAAGATTTTCTATATCACTTTCACAAGTAGCTAAATTTTCCTTTAATTATTCTCTAAAATGAAGAACTTCTTAAAATTTTTCTTTGTTTAAAATGAAGAATTCAGTATTTTAATTTAAAGTATCAATTAAAGAAGAGAAATGGTCTATTTTATGTTAAATTTAGGATTTGATTTCTAATATAAGTGTTTCAATCTAACTTTGCCATTGTTTTACATTCATCAATATAATTTATAGATTATTTATGATATCTGATGATTCTAATTTAGTTTTAGTTTCTTTGTTGATTTTTTCTAGATCTTTGATAGCTGTGAATTATTATTTTGGTAGATCTGATTCATATTAACACATAGCACAGCATAAAACCCAATTGTTATTCTCTTTTATAAAAAAAGACACTGGTTAGTCTTAGTGACAATCCTTTTGGCAATATTTTAAACTCATTATTATTATTTTATATATTTATTATTATGATTTTGATACTAGTAATGTCTATAAATAATCTTAATAAAGATTAGATATGATATCAATAAAGAATAAAACATTAATTAAGAAATTGGTAAATATATGAATATCTTTAAGATAACATTATATTGATAGTTTGAATGGTTTTTAAAAGATATTTTTTATAAAAAGGTGAAATAAAATGAATGACAGACAGGAAAATAATTTGTTAATTTATTACTAAAGTAATATTAGATTTCTAATTCTTTTATGAATTATAGAAATTTGATTAATGCTTATAAATAATAAAAATATGTTTAATCAAGTCTTAAAAATGTTATTGTTTTTAAAGTATTGTAATAATGTTAAAAAGTAAAAAATAAGAAAAAATTAATGTTAATTTAATGATTATATGAATATCAAGATGCTTAATAGTCAAGATAGGCAAAATATTTTTATTGATTTATTATTGATTATAAACTATCTTAATAATTTTGCCACTTTGGTTTTGGCACGAAATCTTGTTGAATTTTGAAGAGATGGGAATTCTGCTATTCCAATTTCTATTTAGCAATAAGTTATTTAATTTTAGTATTGTTCCTTATTTACTATAAATATTTGTTATTTATCGTGGAATAGTCAAAACTATATTATAATTTATTGATATTATCATAGTTCCTTGGTGTATCTTACTTAGACCATCTCCTCTTAGGGTTTTATTCTAAATCTTAGTTTTTATTTTGAGATGACTTTCTACTTTGCTTTTCATATTTTCTTTAATTCATTTTAATATTTTATAATAAAGAAACTTTTTATTCACACCTCACATTAGATCTTAATTTTGTATAGAACATTCACAAATTATAAGTAAGAAAGTAGTATTTCACTTAATTAAAATAATAATTATATATAACAAAGTGTTCAGTTAGTTAATTAATTGAATGATGAATAAACAAGACAAGAAATTAATTGTTGAATTGAAGGTATTTTTAATATAAAAATGAAGAATAGTAAAATAAAAGAAAATTTATTAAAAAAGATTTTAATGAATGTTTTACTTTAGTTAAATTAAAAAGTCCATATAAATTCAAAGAATATGTGAGTAAGCTTATTAAATAAAAGAATGACGTAGTATAGGATTGAATGTTTAACATAATTTATATCATTAAATTAATTAGGTCGTATTATGATTAAGAATGCTGAAATGATTCTAAAAGTAAAAGAGTGTATTTATTTTGGAATAAAAATGAAAATTTTAGAGATATTAAAATAACAATTTGAAATGGAATTAATCAAAAAAAACAATTAGTTTTTGTATAGAAAAAATATTTTTAAATGATAATAAAGAATAATAAAGAAGAGAATTGGCAATTTTAAAAATAAACGAATATTATTAAAAAAGATAGGGCAAAAGAATTTATGAGGGATTATGTAGATAATTTTTTTTTTACTTATAAAATTGAATCAATGGTTACATTCTAAAGAACTAAAGGAATTATTTATAGAAATTCTAACTTTTTAATTGTATAGCTGAATTTGAAGAGTTTAAGATATCAATTAGATTGGGATATAATAGTATTCTTTATTATTTTATATAAAAATTGTGATGCACTTAAAACAATACTTATAATATCAAAACAATTCTAATGTACCTTATTCCTTTTCTTTTTTTAATGTTTCAAAATAGCCATATATGATAGTGACAGAGAGCAATATACCAGTTCCTATTAAAATATATAAAGGATTAATTACCTGATCCAATAGCTCCAAGAAAATCGGCTAAGATAGTGAGTGCTCCAATACACATACCACCAAATGAAGCTGCAATTGGAATGTATCTCTTTAAAACATCTTTCATTGATGAGTCTCTATATCCAACAATTTACATGTCTTATTCTTTTAATTATTTAGCAACCTAAAAATATTATTATTAATAAATTACATCTTTAGGTGATGATCCAGATACATCGATCCAAGTTTTGGAAAAGACTGCACAAGTTCCAAGTATGAAGGCAGTGTAAAGGATTGTATGAATTGGATCAAATATTGCTTCTGAAATAGATCTTGGTGGAGATACATAATAGACTAATCCACCAACAGGGACAGTTTATCCATTTTCTAATTCTTACCAATATCCTAATAAACGAATTAAGAAGTTTCCTTTGAAATTTCTATAGAGGATTTATGAAAGGAAATAAAGGTTTGAAACAAGAGCAGTTTACAAAATGATTGGGATATTGGAAGTGTAAAACAATTTAATTGGATATGATGTCAATCCACCTCTAACTTTATTGTTTTTGATTGGAATGTCTACTTTGAATCCTTAGAAATAAATGACAATCAAAAACACAAGGACAGTAGCTAATAAACTAGTAAGATTAGGTAAAGAGTCTCTTAATATGGCTGATTAGATGGCAGCAATTTTATCACTTTAAATAAAGAGTCCATGTAAAAGGGCAATGATAGCTCCTTCATATTCAAGACCAAGTTATGTTTTATGAGTGATAGGTGAGAATGCTTTCCACATTATGTTTTCGCATATATTAATAGCAATAAATAATGAAGTTCCTGAATTTCCAATTCCATATCCTTTTGAGAGTAATTCATCAATCATGATCATAACGATTGCTGAGAAGACTAATTGGATTATGATAAGGATAGCATTTCCTGCTCCTAATTTGTCTAAATCTCCATACATTCCTGACCAAACGTAAGCAAAGGCTTCTCCAAAAGCAATAAGGATTCCCAATACTAAGATAGACAAATTTAATTACATTTTTATGCTCCAGAGTAAAGTTATTTGTCTTCCTTAACATTTTAATCAACATCAATTAATTTAGCACCTGCCAAGAGTTACATAATCATTGAGGCTGTTACCATAGGTGAAATACCTAATTCCATTAAGGTACCTCTATTTGATGCTAATATCACTCTCATCCAATAGAATGGATCACCAGCAGAAGATTTGTAAATACCATAAAGTGGAATTTGAGAACAAATTAGATATAATAAAGTAGCAATGGCTGTCCATAATGCTCTGTATTTAAATAAGATCTAAAATCAATTAAATATTGGTACTCTTCTTTCAGGCTCAGCAACATCTGGGATGATTGCCATGGCTGGTCTCATATAATTGAGTATTTTGGTTTTATTTGTCATTTTTATTATTGTACTTTAACGTGGTTATTTTTTACATTTATTGAACCCCAAACACACGTGTGAATTGAATTTATATTATAATTTTAATAATAATCTCTGAAATAATTTTTCATTTCAAAATGAATATATGTCCAAATATCTCATTCTGGCCTCATTAATATCATTAAATTTTTATAATTTAACATTCTTCAATTATTAAAAGGCACTCTCTAATTTAGTTATTTTTGAAATTTAAGGAATTTTAATATCACCTCTGTGCATAAGTATAAATTCATATTTGCATCCAATTTACCAATAAAACTTTCTACCTGAAGTTTATTCAAAGATAGAAAATATTATATTAGCATATGGACTTTCTCTTTAATAAAATTTAGAAAGCAATTTATTATAGTTCCTTTCATTTGTTCCATCTCTCTTTATTTATTTATTTAGTAATCCATAAACAGTTCCTGATTATCCACTAATATCATAATCATTCAAACCAAAACTCTTAGCTAACTCAACTACTGTTCCAAATATAGTTGTATCAAAATTACAATAGATATGAAGATAAACATTTTTTGGACTGCAATGATTACAAGTATTGTATGGCTCTGGTAGAAATGTTGGAGCAATCTTATCAAAAGTAGGTTGAATCCAATTCATTCTTAATTTATCCCAATCCTCTTCTAACACTTTCTTACTTTCAGAAACTTAGATAGCAGCAGCAATAGCATTTGTACTTGCAATTGCAGGAATAATTCTTCCTCCCATTTTTCTAACTTCATTAACACTTAAGTATTTCATTTTATCTCCTTCAACTAATCTTGGATCAATATTTTTGAATTTCTTTGTAAAATTAAAAGTTCTAATATTTGTTGTTGCTGCAACAAATCTAACACTATCCCAATCATCTTTATCAAACTTAAATGATCCAACACCAGGAGTCTATAGAATTTTAACAAAAGTCTTGACAAATTAATCTACATAATATTTAAATGGTTAAACTAAATAATTTATTTCAAAATATTACTTTTATCATCTTCCTCATCCATTTTTGATTGATCAATAGTTGTATAAACATTAGAATCTTATAATCCTTCTTCATAAGATATTGGATATTTATTTTAATTGATTGCATTAGCTTCTTCATCTTTTGCATAACCCTTAAGTCCTTGTTTTATTTCATCATAAAATAATTTATTGAATGTTCGTATTGCCAAACCATTTAATAATTCTTAATCATTTTTATCACATGATTGAATTTAAGCCAAATCCAATAAACCTGCCAACATATTTGATTCATCCAAGGGTCCAAATAGTAAATTGTACAAAGACATAGCATATGTAACACAATGTATAGGTTAAGATGGACTTGCTCTAATAGTACAAACAGCATATTAAGGTGCTCCTTTGGAAGGCTAACAATTGTTACATTGATGTAAAACTATATAAATTTTATGATTTTATACATCTTTTAATTACATTTGCTTGACCACTAAATCCACCTGTTCCTGCATCCACTAATATTCTATTACTTTTTAAACACATTCTTCCCAAATGTTCTCTTGCTTAAGCATTGTCTAAAGCACATAAAACAAAGTCAAATTAAGTGTAGAACTCAACATCATATTTTTCTAGTCTTATTTATTAAATATACCATCAAATATTGATCCATGAATTGCAGTGATATCTAGTTCAGGATGTTTTTTCATTACACTTTCTTTTCCTACTAATGCCTTATATAGTATATTTAAGTACTTTGCTCATGCCAACATGTTCTTTTCTAAAATAGAATTACCTATTTAAATTGGTGGCCTCTATTGTATCTAAATCCAAAATAGTCATCGTTTTATAGCCACTATTAGTCAACACTTTCAATAATTCACAACCTATTCCACCAACTCCTATTATGAGAATCCTACTATTTCTAATTTTTTCATATGTCTCAGGACTATAAAGTAAGTTTAGGGTTTTATTCATTTATTATAGAATTTTAATAAAATAATAATATCCTATCTAATTATCTAATAAAAGAATTTAATATCTAAAATTTGATCAGAATCTTATCTATCTTTAATTGATTTTTTCATAAGTAATGCATATTTTGGAATATGTAATTGAGATAATCAATAATTAAAATATATTCGATCAGTTATGAGTAATACATTGTAATCATATGAAAATGCCTGTCATCAATATGAGAAGGATCAATTATAGTTTAAAAGAAGAAAGGACATGAACCTTAAAGATGAGTATTCCATAAAAGAAAAGTAAAAAGTACTTCTTGATTTTGATGAGACAAGTTAAAAAGAAAATTAAACGTATAAAGCATTCAGTTTTAGATAGATAAATGTCATTGATGAAAAAAAACTATACAAAGTATATTGTAAAGATGCAGAATTTGAATCTAATTAATAGTTTTGATCATAATGTAAGAGTTTTAGATCTTTCAAATTCTAAAATGACTTCTTTGAATGAAGGAATCAAACAATATGCTCGTTTATCTATTATCAATTTAGCCAATAATCTCTTCTAAGAAGTACCTAGTTGTTTATTCGAATTATATCTGTCTCATATCAATCTCAACAATAATTTATTAAAGACTCTATAATTGGGAGATAAATGGAAAACATCATTAGAGAGATTAGATGTAGGCAAAAATCATATTCGTATATTACCAGATGAGTTATTCCTAATGGAACAAATAAAAATTATTGATTTAAGAAGTAATGATTTTACAAAAATACCAAAAACAATATTGAATTTAGAAAAGTAATTGAAAGGACTTGGTTTAGATTGGATTAAATATACTAATCAAAATTATTTTTCATCTAGTAAAATACATATTTAAATTAAAATTAGAAAAAGACATGATGATAACAGATGATCTATAAAGATTTTGGGATCAAATACATTAAATTCTTAAAGAGAATGAATCAATCCTATGTCATGATTATTTGATATTCAATCAAAAATATCATGATGATTAAATTCAAGATTCAATTACTGTATAAATCCCAAAATAGTCTAATATTACTAGAGCTACTCAAAGAAATACTGAATTAACTCTTTAAGAATTGACTAGTAGTTGTCAATTTATTTAGACAAAAACACTTGGTTAAGATGCTGATTTATCTGATAATGGATCAAATTTAATGCATATAGCTGTTGAAAATGAAGATATAGGTATAGTGAGAGCTCTTCTTAATATCAGATTTGAATTATCTTCATAATTAGATGATACTTCACATACTCCATTATCATAAGCAATCAAAGAAGAAAAATATCATTGTGCCAAAATTTTAATAAATGCATCAGCTAATCTAAATATAGGAGGGTAATTCATCTAATTTATTTTCAAAGTGGAGAATATAATAGTGTTCTTAATTAAGCTGTTAGTAAAACCCAATATTATCTAATCAGAGATATATTAAATGCTAAAGTCTAAATTAATAAGTAAGATAAAAAAGGTAATGGTCCATTGCATAATTTGATTCCATCCTTTAAAAAAAATCTACAAGAAGCCACAAGAATTGGACATTTATTAATAGAAAGAGGTGCTGATCCTAATTTAAGGAATATCAATAATAATACACCTCTTCATTTAGCTATCAAGAAATCATCATACTCTGCATTGAGATTTGCTATGTCCATAAATGAATAATACTAACGTGATGTATTTTCTTTCAAATTACTCGGTCACAAAGGCAATTCGGGTATCAATTATAAATTAATTAGTTATGCATTTTGCTGCCAAAAGTGAAAATATTAAAATAATTTTGTAACTTTATGCTATTAATCCTTATTTATTATTTACTTATAATGAGGATCAAAAACGGCCTTTTGATATCATACAAAAGAACTTCACTTTGAGTAAACTCATTTCTGTTTTAGAACTTGTCTTCATAAAAAACCATATTATAAAATAACATTAAAAAACAAATAGTTAATCTACTGGATAACTTATTAAAGAGGAACAAACAACATAAATAAAATAAAAAGAATAAGATATTTAATTTTCAAAGAAAAATAGTTTTGATTTAGTTGAATCAGATGAAGAAGGTACAAATAGAATTGGACTTAATAATTTTTAAATATTACCTAATTTAAAAAGACAATAATCTTAACCACCTAGAAGACCAACAATTAAGAAAGAGAATAAGGTGTCTTGTGAAAATGTTGGACAAATATTAATACATAAATCTATTTAATAGGATAGAAATGATATTAAATAAATAGAATTGTAAAATTAATAAAATAACAGCAAATTTAATAAAAATAAATTTATTAATAAATGGATTCATAAATTATTAAAAGATATAGAAAATATTTAAATTTTAATGTAGACATAAAAAGATTATTACTCTTAAATTGCTTTAGAGAATTTATTAAATGCTTTAATTTAATAATTAAATTATTACAAAAATGATCCACTTACAAATTTAATGATTAAAAATGCTACTTAATTATAGAAAATAGAATTTGAATGTAGACAAACAACAAACCTTTCTTATGATACTTCTCCGTTATTCTTAGAATATGAATAATTTATGAAGCTATGAGTAATATATTAAATAAAAAATATTCACTTTTTATGATAAACTTTGATTGGTTAAAGAGGAGTATCTNTGTTCTTAATTAAGCTGTTAGTAAAACCCAATATTATCTAATCAGAGATATATTAAATGCTAAAGTCTAAATTAATAAGTAAGATAAAAAAGGTAATGGTCCATTGCATAATTTGATTCCATCCTTTAAAAAAAATCTACAAGAAGCCACAAGAATTGGACATTTATTAATAGAAAGAGGTGCTGATCCTAATTTAAGGAATATCAATAATAATACACCTCTTCATTTAGCTATCAAGAAATCATCATACTCTGCATTGAGATTTGCTATGTCCATAAATGAATAATACTAACGTGATGTATTTTCTTTCAAATTACTCGGTCACAAAGGCAATTCGGGTATCAATTATAAATTAATTAGTTATGCATTTTGCTGCCAAAAGTGAAAATATTAAAATAATTTTGTAACTTTATGCTATTAATCCTTATTTATTATTTACTTATAATGAGGATCAAAAACGGCCTTTTGATATCATACAAAAGAACTTCACTTTGAGTAAACTCATTTCTGTTTTAGAACTTGTCTTCATAAAAAACCATATTATAAAATAACATTAAAAAACAAATAGTTAATCTACTGGATAACTTATTAAAGAGGAACAAACAACATAAATAAAATAAAAAGAATAAGATATTTAATTTTCAAAGAAAAATAGTTTTGATTTAGTTGAATCAGATGAAGAAGGTACAAATAGAATTGGACTTAATAATTTTTAAATATTACCTAATTTAAAAAGACAATAATCTTAACCACCTAGAAGACCAACAATTAAGAAAGAGAATAAGGTGTCTTGTGAAAATGTTGGACAAATATTAATACATAAATCTATTTAATAGGATAGAAATGATATTAAATAAATAGAATTGTAAAATTAATAAAATAACAGCAAATTTAATAAAAATAAATTTATTAATAAATGGATTCATAAATTATTAAAAGATATAGAAAATATTTAAATTTTAATGTAGACATAAAAAGATTATTACTCTTAAATTGCTTTAGAGAATTTATTAAATGCTTTAATTTAATAATTAAATTATTACAAAAATGATCCACTTACAAATTTAATGATTAAAAATGCTACTTAATTATAGAAAATAGAATTTGAATGTAGACAAACAACAAACCTTTCTTATGATACTTCTCCGTTATTCTTAGAATATGAATAATTTATGAAGCTATGAGTAATATATTAAATAAAAAATATTCACTTTTTATGATAAACTTTGATTGGTTAAAGAGGAGTATCTCTACGACTTCTCGAGAATTCAAATGAATGAAAAGAATTATTATCTTGTGTCAAATCAAACTCAATCATATTATTAAGGTTATGATTGATTTTCTTTTATTTTAAAGTATTGTTTAAATATGATTCTATACTAAATTGCATTTTCTTATTAATCTCTTAGGAAGTCAAAAGTAAACTCTTGTTTATTTCCTTCAAATCTTCGTTTCCTGATAATTCTAACTCTTTCATAAAGCTTTCACTTGAATCTCTAATTCGAATTTATTATCTAATAACAGGACTCTATTATTATGATCTTTGTATTCTGGGTGTAAAAATGCTATTTTTTTTTTTTAATTTGTTATCATTAATTCTAGACTAAGGAGAACAATTAGGTAATTTAAGATGAGTTCGTGGAGTTGGTTTTGGTTATGTATAATTGCGAGATGCATAAATTAAATATATCTGTCTCTATTTAGGTTTGCTGAATAAGGTTGAATTGATCATTTAATTATTAGGAATTTATAAATATAATATGCTTAGTGAATAGATAGTTAATCCTGAACCTAGAATAGCAACTGAATTTGATAATAAATTAGTTTGTCATGTATGTGACGATGAACTTGAACGTCCAAATCATTGGTATGATTAAATTATAAGATTAGTGATTTTTGTGGAAAATCTACTTGCTCTAATTGTATAGTGAAGAGAAGAAAATCAAAAGATGATGCTATTCATCCTGTTTGTGAATATTGTGAACGTATATTTGTTGAACGTATTCTAATATTAAGTGTAAAAAAGTAAAAAGAAGAATTAGCAAATTCTTTGGAATAAGCAAATGTAGAATTAGCTAATAAAAGATAATAATTATATTCATTTAAGAATGTACTTTAGAATAATCCAGATTCAGTAACTTCTGAATAAAAGATTTAAAAATTAGATGAAGATATAATTGAAGCCACATATCAAAAAAATATATTATTATCACAATAACAAGAAATAGAAATAGAGAAAATAGAACTTAAATAATCAAATATGGAAAAAGCTTAAAATGTAGATATTAAATAAGTGAAATTACAGGAGACATTAAATAAAGCATAGAAATCTAAAGATGAATTAGAAGACATTTAAAGATAAATTGATGAGTTCTTGGCTAATTTACCTATACTAGAAGCTGAATAAAAATCAGCAATTACTTAATTAGACTTCTCAAATTATGAATAAATATTTAGAGGTAGCAATTTACCTGAATTAATGAATTAATAAGCCATTAAATAAAGTCAAATAATGTAATAACCTAATAGTAAGAAAAAATAAGAATAGAAAAAGGATTGTAATATATTTTGAATCATCTCAAAAATAATTGATATATAAATTGTTCAATAGTGTAATTATTATTAAAACTTATAAATATATATTTTTTATTCTAAAATATTCATTATCAAGTATTATAATAATATACTCTATTGATTACTTCAAAATTATCAATTTTATTTAGTTAATTAGTAAAATTTAAACCATTTATTAAACATAATTTAATTATATTATCAATTCATTTTAATCCATTTTGCTAAAATAAATAGTAGAGCATCAATCATTATAGGTTTGGATAAATAATCATGAAAGGGAAGTTTTCTTGTTTAGGCTCTATTTTCTTCATCCATACAACCAATTAATCCTATGATTCTAGGTTCAACTTTAAATTCTGCATAAATATCTTTTATTTAATTAAATAAAGTAAATAGTTCTTCTTCAAATTATTCAATTCCAATGAATAATAGTTATAATCCTTTACAACATGGTTAATTTTCATTGTTCTTCAACTATTAATTATCATTATTGACCTTTAATTAATGATTATCAATATTCTACTTTTATTAATTACTATTTTACTATTATTACAAATCACTATTTAATAATTTAACAAGAGTGTTCACTATTTGAGATTTCTATGTTACATATTCATATGTAATTCCTATATTCGTTAATTAATGCGATAAAGCATAAAGATCAAGATCGATACTCTCACATATCAATATCTTAGTACACTAACTATTAAAATAACTATACTCGACAATTAGATTTATTTTTTTATTATTTTATTTTTTCCATCTTCTCAAAACAATCTAATAAATCATTTGGTTACATAGTTCCACTGGTAAAACATAAAGAAGAATATATGGATGATCTCCCTTATCCTAGTCCACCAAATGTAAGTTGTTGCGATGGTTGAGAACTAATACCTTCATTTTTCTATTATGTTTCATTCACATAATCAAAGAAATATGGTTATATTTTAAGCATTTGTTCTACTCTATTAGATATACCATTTTTTGATTCCATAGATACTTCATCATCTTATTATTCAGATAGACTTTCATCTGATTCATTTAATTATTCCTAAATTTCTTTTTATTTTTCTTTGGATTCTTAACCTTAAGTTTAAATAATATTGATATTCAATTTTTATCTAGCTTCTTTTAATTCTAATTTAATATTTGAATCCTCTGGTTATAAACTTGACATTTAAGATTAATATCTCTTTAAACCTTCTTTATTTTAATACTATTAATAAAAACTTTACTAATTTGTAAATTCTGATAATCTTTTTTAATTTAAATTTTAATTAAATTATGGATATAAATTTTTTATTTTAATGACAAAACTAAATTCTTCTTTATTACCCACACGTTCATAATTATATTCGAATGGAATTTGGGATAAACATTTTGTTAAATAAAATGAAATCAAAATTGATTATGAATATTGTCTAAGATTTCCAAGATCTAATATTTTAGATTTCAATGTTTATGATTTAAAGAATCTAACAGTTCTCTCTATTATTTTAAGAATTGAAAAATTAGTTTCATTAGCCTTCACTTTTACAATAAAATCAATATGTTCATTAAGAATTTAACTTTTAGAAACACAAAATATTATAGATCCTCTAACAGTTGCTTAAATAGAAGTAACTAATAAATTAAGTAAGATTTATCTTAATCTATTTGGATCAGTTCTAATAAATTATGGAACATTCTATTTTATATTTACAGATATTTTTAATCCTCTGAAAATTGCTTAAGATTTTACTACATTTATAATATCAGTCAAAAACTCTTATATTTAAACATCCATCTATATTAAGTCTAATTTATCCTTCTTTTATAATTAAGCATAATCAAGAATATCATTAGCAGTATTAATTAATAATTTACAACCAGCAAGTGCTGGACTTATATATTTTTCTTTTATTTCTTATGGAGTTGTATTCTTATATAATAATTAATAATTGATATACCATAATAATTTCTAACATTGATATAGTACAATTAAGAGGTTACTTAATCTTTGAAGATATGTCACTAATCAAAAAATCATTATTTTTTGTAGTATTCAATAATTATGTTATATAAGGATCTTCAGTGATATCAGATACAAAAATCACAATTTAAGGTTTAAGTTTATAGATTAATGGCGATAAAACAACTTGTATATAACAAGTATCGAATTTAATATATATTTTAAGAGAAAAATCAATAAGTAAATGGTTATTTGTGTATTTTAAGTGATTGAAAGCAATTAAATTATCGAAGAATGCTTTAAAAGATATTTTTTTAGTTAATAATTGTAATCTCTTGATTTGACAAGGGTCGTTTTCATAAGTATTCTCCAAAGTAGATGGAACTCAACAATAATAAACTTATACAATACTCTAAAGTTTCAGTGAATTTAAGGAACTATGCTATGTCTTGACTTCTATGAAATTTTGGCAATAATAAACATGATTCTTCTAGTAGTAATCCAAAATCATATAATTCAGTCTCTAGAAATTAAGTATTCAATTGATCTTCTTTCATAATAATATTTGACAACTATGGATTTATAACTTAAACACTTTTAGTCAGACTATCAATCAGATAAATTCCAAATTCAGATGTGGAAAGTATGGCTTCATTTATTTAATCTTATTAAACTGATTCTGTTTATTAATCTTCCTATTTTTATTCATGTGGTATTTAAGATATATTCCTATTTTCAGGTATATCTATATATAATTGATGAAGAGTTCTATTTGGATTTGATAATCTCTAAGAGTTTAATTATGTATAACTAATTTTATTATTCAAACCCATAGTCACCAATTAGGAATTTAAATTATTCCTAATATTCTTTTTGTTGATTATGAACATTAAGAATTATAAAATAACATGAATAACAATTAACTTTGTACCTATTATGATATTCATTTTAGAATCGAATTCAAAGTTCCTTAACAATGTATAAATCAAATTAAAGACAATTGCTAATGTCTAACATACTTATGATTCTATTGCAAATACAAATCCCAATAAAATTAGGAACTTATCCAGTATTCTTTAAAATTATTATTATGTTGTATAATAATCTAGCTCTTCCCAACATATAACTACACATATAAATTTTAATAAGGTCATGAGATTTATAAATCCATTTTTTATCTTTATCATTTTTATTAGTGACACTTCAAAGAATGCAATCAAAAATATTTGGGTCTAAAATGGTAATTAATATTACTAATATTCTATATATCAAAATGTATTTGTCTCCTTCAATATCTAAAGTTACAGCATCTCCTGTCACTATAATAACATCACATATTTAATAGACAGATATCAGCACCATTAACAATCTCCACTAATCTTTGTTCTTCAAATGTTCTTAATAAATCACAAAATATTCCTTAAATTTGTATAACATAAATTAATTATAATTCAATTCCTTTATTTTATTTAATCTTTACTTATATATATATATTTATAATATGGCAAATAAGTATAAAGTCTGTGTTCTCGGATCTGGTGCTTTTGGAACTGCTATGGCTCATTGTGCCATCAATAATCCATACATAGGAAGAGTTCAAATCTATGCTAGAAACCAAACCATTGTAGAGTCCATTAATCGAGAACACAAGAATCCAAAGTTTCTTAGTAACTTCGCATTGCATCCTGATATCACTGCCACTACTGATCTTTAACAAGCCCTCCACCGTATGTCTCTCCAACTACTACTCAAGAGGCCAATTATGTGCTTAGTTGCATTCCAACCCAAGAGATCCACCAATTTGTTTTGGCCAACAAACAGTACATTGACACCAAGGTTCCTTTCGTTTCCTGTTCTAAGGGCATAATCTTGAAATCTGGAAAATTGATCTCATAAATGTTAAATGAAGAATTTGATGGAAAATTGAGATACGCCTGTCTTAGTGGTCCCTCTTTTGCTGCAGAACTTATGTAAAATAGTAAATCCTTTTACTCATAACTTAGATCCATCATGTGTTGTTGTAGCTAGTCAGGATACTAAAACCTCTAAATTAGTATAATTAGGATTATCAGGAAATTTCTTAAGAATTTTTACTTAAAGTGATGTGGTGGGTGTTGAATTAGCTGGAGCATTGAAAAATTTGGTGGCTATTGGCACAGGCGTATTAGATGGTGCTGGTTTTGGAATCAATACTTAAACAGCCTATGTGACGAGAAGTGTTGGTGAAATGTAGAGATTTGCTAGAATTTATGGAGCTTCAAAACATACCTTTTATGGTCTTGCTGGATTTGGTGACCTTATGTTAACAAGTTATAAACATTATAATATTGTAGGTTTTGGATCATTAAGTAGAAATAGAGCTTTTGGAATTAAAGTAGGAAAAGGAGAAAAAGTGGAAGATATCTTAAAAGAATCAAAAGGAGTTGTGGAAGGATGGCCTACTTTAGAATTAGTTTATAAGCAAGCTCAAGAAAATAATATTGAAATGCCTATGACACTCATTTTGCATGACTTTATTAAGAGAAAATATTCTAAAGAGTAGAGTATTAAAATGTTGATGAATAGAGCATTTTAAGATGAATTTGAACCAACATTTGAGGATTTATTATGATTATCAATACATAAATGCCCAAAATCAGTTATTTTCATTCTTATTTTGTTTCATTAATCTTAATTAATTAACTGCATCACTTGGTAAAGATTATTATAATTATTATAAGGCTCCCACTCTTCTTGGTAATGATTCATGCAGATTACCCTAATTTGTAATTGGTTACTATTATTTCTTTTATTAATCTAATTTATTTCGTTATTCTTCTTTGATTTTCATTTATTAAATCTTTTCAATTTATTGTTTTGACTAAAATATATTAATATATAATACTTTTATACAATTATTCCAAACTGATTGAATAGATTAGAAAAATACATCACTTTGTAAAGTTTTTGGATTCTCACAATAAAATATACATAAATCAGAATATAACTATTCACATGTTGATAGTAGTTAAGATAAATCTGTTATTTCTAATAAAAGTTATTATGAA